TCTCCTCAATTTCACTGCGAAGCATTAAAGCATATGCTTAGCATTCCGGATGTATTTAAGTATTTCACCTTTGTCCTGCCTTTCCTCCAAGTTGCTCTGGGTTGCCTTTATGCAAGATCCTTCTCCCATATATACTCTGCGAGGTAGGCAAGGCTGTGAGATAGGGACAGGTTCAGGGTCATCCAGTGGGTTTCATGACTAGAGTGGGTATTTGAATCTTGGTTTCCCAGGGTCAAGCCTGACATTTTAACCACTCTGCCACATTGGTTTATAAGTTCATATTGGGTGGATTGTGCCCTGTAATAAGTGGTTTAACATTCCCCAAAGTTAAGCTATATAGATAACCATCTCCATTCAAATGCTATGCTTAATTTTTACCTATATAAACAAGTATCTATGAGTGTATGCAAATGTATCAAAGAGCTGTGATGTAGATGTGTGAAGAAAGCCACATACTGCCCCCCCCCCGCCCCCAAAGTTATTCACTTCTGAACTGTGTGCATTATTGACATATCTCAGTTGCTAATTTAATCGTACAAAATTAGATATTTCTGTTGATCTGCTATGGTCAACTAACTAGAGATTTTAGATATTGACACTGGTGTGTATGTGGCATGGAACATTCTGAATGGACGTTCTGTGGTGGGAGGAATTTTCTTTCCTTCAGAAATTCATATAGTTTATCCAAAGACAACTTGTCAGATATAAATAAGTTTTTAAACAATCTAACACATGTTCTGAAATCTGAAATGCTGGCTTTTCCTAAGGCAATTGCACCTTATGGATGTGATCCTAAATATTATCTGAGCTCAATTTGATGTATCTAAATTCTGTGTCGATTTGCATAAGACAGGATTGTTACTATGAAGTAGTTTCCACTGAATGTTACTGAAATCAGTGGAGCATATTTTAAAGTAAATATTATTATGATCAGTGGAAAAATCTTGAACACACATTTTTTTCCCAGGAGTGCTGATCAACAATGTAGCAGTGTGAGAAAAGTGTATTTTCTTAACTTGCACAAATGTCAAAGAGAAAAAAAGCATAGCTGTATTATTTAGTCATGCAGGGAAAGCTGCAGTTTTCCCATGAATGAAAGGCTGTGAAATGTCTGTATTACTACCTTGGAAACCATTTATCACTCTTTAGCAACAGCAGCATTTTGTGCTCTAAAGTAAACAAGGAAAAAGCAGGTGTGATTTTCAAGATCCTGATTGTGCAGTCCATCTTTCCACACTCAAAAAACACATTCTGTTTCTGTTCCCATATGTTAATGGGTAGGGTTAATGGCATCATAATAGTGAATATTTTCAGTGTTTGTCATTGCAAATATTTAACTGGAAGAATACAGATTCTTTGGTATCCTGCATTTGAAAATGCACGTGTAGTTGTTAAGAACTTATGCTGATGACAAATCTCATCCAAGTTCTATCAATCTTAGCCTGCTGAGAAAGATGAGAAACATACAAAAACACTAAATGAATTGTGTAACCATTGTTTGGGCAAAGCCACTGGCAAAATTATTTGCAAAGTGAACATGTTTGGGCTTACAGTTGCTTAGTATTCATGATGTCTGTGTTTGATTTTTATCTATGAAAACTAAGATGTAACTGCTAAGTTAGAAAAGCATGTGATCAGTGTGACCTCTTTCTCAGTGAGAAAATATATAAATAGATAACTTATTTAAAAAGAAGTTGCATTAACCACCCACAAGATACAGCACAGGATCTCTCTCTCTCTCTCTCTCTCCCCCTCCCTTTGTGCATGTGTGCACACATACACACAGCTCCTATTAATAATGTTCATAGGAGAACTGATGGTTAGTACCTAGTTTTATGAGCAGATGTGCCCAGCAGTATATAAGATTAAGCATTAGCGTTCTGTCACCAGCAGTACCTTTTTGTGAATTGTTCCGAATCATGCCTCATTATACAAATATCAGTTTTCTCCTTGAGCTAGTTACTAGGACCCAACCCTAGCTTTGGTGCAGTTGTAACTCTGAGCATTTCTTCTCCCTCATTGACAGTGTTGTGCAATGGCCTGAACAAAAAGGAGATTGTGTGTCCTCACCCCCCACCCCCCCACCAGCACAGGAACTTAGAAGCTGTTGTCCTAGATTGGAATATAGAAGTATTATTGCAAGTGTGGTAAAGCTGGATGGCTTTACAGTACTTTTTCCTGCTGTTATTTAAACGGCCTCTCAGACAACCACCTGCAGGGTAAGACAGCTCTAGTGACATTCAGTGCATTAGTCTTCAAAAAATTCTGCAAAAGCTACCACAGGTTTGTTGGATTTATTTCTGTCTTGCACAATACCCTACAGGAAAAAGCTTTATAATAAACACCTCCTTTTCCTTGGTATATTGAGAACAGTCCTATAGTACATGATTTCTGCTTTTGTACAGAACATTGTCTTATGCTTAACTGTATATCAGAAGTCACATCTTGAAACACAGTGCCCATTGAGCAAACTGAATTGTCCATTTTACCTGCTCAATCACATCACACTGTATAAAGATAATGGAATCCCATTGTCTGGGTAAAATCTGCCTGCCTTCCTCCGAATTGTGCCATTTTGCCAATGTGTCTGGTATTTTCCTCTAAACTTACAATTAGTAACAGTCTTTACTTCTGATATCTTTTCATACTACTATTGCTAAATTAGATCATTAGGATCAAGCTGGCCTGCTATAATTGTAATATTGTACTTTCCAATTAGTGCAATTGAAAATAATGATATTAATTTGAATAAATATGTTTAGATTTACAAGCAGAAATGCTCTGTGCTTATCCTCTTGGTTCGGAATAATGTCATCAACAAGTAAATTCATTGCCATCTTGAAAGTCTGCATAGAAATCTTTCTATAGTTTTCTGGCTGTTAATGACTTTGCAGCCAAAATGAATACTCAGTTTTCACAGATTGCTTTTTAGAATGTGATTTCTTGAGTTCCAGCCTAACTCATGTTTAGTTTTTGCATGCCATTTTTGAAAATTTTCAGATAGATTCATTCATTTCGAATGGCTTTATGTTTAGTGGCTTGTGTTAGAAAATATAGATATCTATCTCTGGGAACATATATATATGTATATCAGAATTATTGCAAATTATTTTTCAAGAATGATGCTTTGTTATAGATATAAAATTACTGATCAAAAGATGATAAAGATGGTTTTAACAATAATTACCTTTTCACTGAAATTTCTCTTGAAAGAATGACAGTATATCAGTTAACTCTGTGTTGATTCACAGCTATTTATTCCTACAACTGACCAGATATTGTTAGGAACACTTTAATAATGGCAACCTGTCCTCTGTCTGTCCTCTCCTTTAATCCTTCCTTAATCCTGCTTGAGAAGATTATTGGCAGCATGTCCACAACAATAAGAAACAATCTGTTGTTTACAATACGATTTTTTCCCCTTCTCCTTCTTCAGAGGTGTACTCCCAAGAGAATGTGATGTCATTATTGCATCCCAGTACTACATATGTTTCAGGAAATGAGGCTGTATATACTCTGTGGACCCAAACCAGTTGCTGTTATGAATAAATAATACATTGTTGTTGATAAAATCTGAGGAGTGTATGTAATATACAGAAGAATTATTCCTTCTGCTCTTGACTACATTACCATGCCATTCTCAGATTATATTCCCTCTCCATACTTCTTCTGTAAGCTCTGTTACACCATTAAATAATACCAGTACAATGCAGCAAAACAGTCCACTTGCCCTTAAAGCCCTATGTATGCTACTAATAGTCTTTGTTCCATAGATTCTACTTTCTAATACTCTGTTACTCAGTTAATTCCATTTTGACACTCCTCTCCTCATTCTTTGTTGTTAGATGCCATCAAGTTGCTTCTGACTTATGGTGACCCTATGAATAGATGCCCTCCACAATGTAATGTCTTTAACAGCCCAGCTCAGCTCTTGTAAATGCAAAGCTATGAGTTCTTTATGGAATTGATCCATCTTATATTTGGTCTCCCCTTTCTTCTTCTGACTTTGATTTTCCCTAAAGCGATTGTTTTTTCAGTGAGTCTTGCCTTCACATGATTGACCAAAGTATGACCACTTTGGTTCTGTCTTTTTTTTTCTTACCAGGGAAAGTTCTGGTTGATTTGATCTAGGACCTACTTGTTCTTCTTTCAGCTGATCTGGAGTATTTGCAAAGCTCTAGCAGCATGTTTCAAACATGTCAGTTGTCTTCTTGTCAGTGTTCTCACTGTCCAGTTTTCACACCCATACATAAGGATTGGGAATGCAGTGTTTTGGATGATCTTGGCCTTGTTCTTCAGTTAAATGCCCTTACACTTGATGATCTTTTCTAATTTCTTCATTGCTGCCCTTCCAAATCAGTCTTCTAATTTCTTGGCTGCAGTCTCCCTTTGAATTGGTTATTGGGCAGGGTTTACAGTGGAATGGGCAAGAATGTGCTCTCCAGATGTTTTGGTCTACAGTTCCCATCATCCATCTCCATTGGCTAGGCTGGGAGTATTAGGACACAAGTTGCCCATCCGTGACTTGAGTTTAATTTCATTGGTCTCTACTGCATTAGCCGTTTACATGTATTATTTTTGTTATCTTTGAGAAATTGTTCATACTTTGCAAGAAAACTTTCTTGGTATTCCATTTAACCATCTGATATACAGCATGAATTTGCTTTGCTTTGTATACATATTGTTTATATAGAGAATGTATTTGTTTAATTTATTCCACTACCAAATTGCTGTTCTGTGGTAGTAATGTCCCTTTTCACAGCATATTTAAATAAGAATATTTGTTTTTCTTTTTCTTGTTGTTGTTAAGGTTGCTTGTAAGAATGGCAGCACTATTCCCTTTACTACTACACTATTTCTGGATAGCGTGGTTATAATACTCGAAAAGAAGACTGATGACTTGAGCAACTATTATGAGAGATTACTTACTTATATAACAACATTCCGGGAAAGAAACCATTTCCGCATTTCTAAGGATTTGGCTAACCCGCTTTTACAAAATGAATCGGTATACAACCATGAAGCAGCTTGGGGATGGAACATATGGCAGTGTGTTGATGGGAAAAAGCAATGAATCAGGGGAGCTTGTGGCCATCAAAAGGTATGTGCCTTTAAATTCTAATGCTTTTTAAATGCTTCACAGCCAGCACTTCTCATGATGACTGATGGATTTAATCCCAGGCAAACCTATATAGACATACAATTTTGGTTGACATTTGAAAAACTTTAAAATAAAACTAACCAAGTACCTATAGGATTGTAGGCTCAGTATGCTCTTTAATCAGTGGTAAGAATCTGGTGTAATTTAATTCCTGGCAACATGCTCTGTGGATTAGATCTGTCTCTTTCCCAGTTTGCCCTCCACTGCAACTCATAAAATATACAGTATATCACAGAAGTTAGTATGCCCCTCACATTTTGTAAATATTTTATTATATCTTTTCATGTGACAACCCTGAAGAAATGACACTTTGCTACAACTTGTATAACAGTGTAAATTTGCTGTCCCCTCAAAATAACTCAGCACACAGCCATTAATGTCTAAACCGCTGGCAACAAAAGTGAGTACACCCCTAAGTGAAACTGTCCAAATTGGCTCAAAGTGTCAATATTTTGTGTGGCCACCATTATTTTCCAGCACTGCCTTAACCCTCTTGGGCATGGAGTTCACCAGAGCTTCACAGGCTGCCACTGGCGTCCTCTTCCACTCCTCCATGATGACATCATGGAGCGGGTGGATGTTAGAGACCTTGCTCTCCTCCACCCTCCATTTCAGGGTGCCCCACAGATGCTCGATAGGGTTTAGGTCTGGAGACATGCTTGGCCAATCCATCACCTTTACCCTCAGCTTCTTTAGCAAGGCAGTGCTCGTCTTGGAGGTGAGTTTGGGGTCGTTATCATGTTGCAATACTGCCCTGCGGCCCAGTCTCCGAAGGGAGGGGATCATGCTCTGCTTCAGTATGTCACAGTACATGTTGGCATTCATGGTTCCCTCAATGAACTGTAGTTTCCCAGTGCCGGCAGCACTCATGCAGCCCCAGACCATGACACTCCCACCACCATGCTTGACTGTAGGCAAGACACACGCTTGACACCATCTGAACCAAATAAGTTTATCTTGGTCTCATCAGACCATAGGACATGGTTCCACTAATCCATGTCCTTAGTCTGCTTGTCTTCAGCAAACTGTTTGCAGGCTTTCTTGTGCAACATCTTTAGAAGAGGCTTCCTTTTGGGACGACAGCCCTGCAGACCAATTTGATGCAGTGTGCGGCGTATGGTCTGAGCACTGACAGGCTGACCCACCACCCCTTCAACTTCTGCAGCAATGCTGGCAGCACTCATACGTCTATTTCCCAAAGCCAACCTCTGGATATGACGCTGAACATGTGCACTCAACTTCTGTGGTCGACCATGGCGAGGCCTGTTCTGAGTGGAACCTGTCCTGTTAAACCGCTGTATGGTCTTGGCCACCGTGCTGCAGCTCAGTTTCAGGGTCTTGGCAATCTTCTTATAGCCTAGGCCATCTTTTTGTAGACCAACAATTCTTTTTTTCAGATCCTCAGAGAGTTCTTTGCCATGAGGTGCCATGTTGAACTTCCAGTGACCAGTATGAGAGAGTGAGAGCGATAATACCAAATTTAACACACCTGCTCCCCATTCACACCTGAAACCTTGTAACACTAACAAGTCACATGACACCGGGGAGGGGAAATGGCTAATAATGCCCAATTTGGACAGTTTCATTTAGGGGTGTACTCACTTTTGTTGCCAGCGGTTTAGACATTAATGGCTGTGTGTTGAGTTATTTTGAGGGGACAGCAAATTTACACTGTTATACAAGCTGTATACTCACTACTTTACATTGTAGCAAAGTGTCATTTCTTCAGGGTTGTCACATGAAAAGATAAAATATTTACAAAATGTGAGGCATGTACTCACTTCTGTGATATACTGTATGCTGCCTGAGGGAACAGGGCACCTTAACTTATGGTTGGGTTGATACATCTGGTTACTTTTTAATGTTTCAGCAAGTTAATTTAAGTATGGATTCCTTGTGCTTTTCATTTCAGAATGAAACGAAAATTCTATTCCTGGGATGAATGTATGAATCTGAGAGAAGTCAAGGTAATACTCATAGAATGTAAGTTTGGCAGGAGTGTTCAATCTGGTAGCTTCTGCTCAGTGTGAAGGCGCTATATCTGGCCCTCTTAAGGGGAACCACCTGTTGTTTTATCAGTATAGAAGCAAAAATAGGTCATGGAGAGAGTAAAGACTGTGGCTCCAAGACTTGCTAGCTGGTGACTCATGGGTTGGGGCTTCAGTGCCCTACATTATATTCCAAAAACAGTCCAAATGGTCCTTGAAGAAAATTAATTGCTGACCAGGGATTAAAGCTGTTTTTCAATAAGTTGGGGTGCAGTCCTTTGCATCTTTAAAAAGAAAGATGGCTGGGGAATGTTGGCAGCTCTAGCATGGTTTTCTTTCAAAACATGTACAGAAGTGTGTTCTTAGCTATCTTGTGCCAGATTAGATTCCCTACCCTGTTAATGGGTCTTTCTGTTGAACTCTGCAGATGGAAGTTAAGCTCTCCACTGTCTGCCACCTGTATTGATTGATCTTAATGTTTTCCTTTGTTATTTTAAAGAATCAGGGATTTCCATGATTTTGAAAACCTCAAGAATGAATTTCCGAAAAAAACATACCTGAACCAAAAGCGCTATAACAGCTATAGAAAAAAGAGTTGTTTGGAACTGATCACTTTAATATACAGAGCTATATAGACATCTTAAGTGGTTCTGCGAATGTTTTGGGTATAAACTCCCAACATTGTTTGCCCCTGACCATGCTGAAAGGGTCTTCTAGGAATTGGTCCCAAATTTTTGAAGATTTACTTTCTGCTCTCCCCAGCCTAGATTATGCAGGGCTGTTCATATGTTAAAGAAACAGGCAAGGGCCCATTTAGCTAGCACAGAGATTTTATGATTGTAACATTTGAGGTTAATTGGACTTTTGCATCATACAGTTTTAGCTGCCAGCATTTTACCTTTAATTTGTGTACTGAGTTATAAATATGAGATCTAAATGCTTCTAAGAGAGAATGCCCTGCCTTTACAATTATAAGAAAAAGAGAAATGTAGAAAGAAAGTGTCTGTACTTAGCATTGGTTTGCACAGGTGCACAGGTCTTGGGAGCTGGTTGCAGAATGCAAGTAGACACATGTTCAGTAAATACTTGTATTCCATCCTGTGTTTGGTAAAGTAATTCATGTTTATCTATTGCAGTCTCTGAAGAAACTTAATCATGCCAATGTGATAAAGCTGAAGGAAGTTATTCGAGAAAATGACCATCTTTATTTTGTGTTTGAATACATGAAGGAAAATCTTTATCAGCTAATGAAAGACAGGTATATCTACTTTTAAAGCTTAATGCAGCATTTTGTTTGCTATATTCTGAGATTTTTTGATACTTTGAGCTCTACTGTAACTCTCTAGAAGTCACAGGAAGGTGATTGATGTTTTAATGAAATAAATGTTAATTGGCATAGAGTTACAAAGAAACTGGCTTAATTTGTTCATCTGCTGGAGTGCTACTGAGAATTGGGTTATTCTTTGAAGTCAAGCTAACTTTTGTGGATAAGTTATTTATTTTGAGAAGCTTTTATATTATTCAGGTTTGATGTCTTTCTAAGTTGCCTTAGAAAGGTGACTTGCTGGTGTCAAAAATTGAAAACCTTGGCATGTATGGCTAGTGTGTCACCAAGATGGATGCCTAGATCTTCAGCTCTTCTACCCACCTTCCTTTCTAATCTTCTGAAGTACACTTTCACTCTCGGTACTCTTCATTAAAAACTTGGACTTCGTTGGCGAATGATTCACTTCCTGATTCACTTCTTATACTATATTTCCATCCTAAGCTGTATTCTTGCTTAGATTATCAGACCTTGGTGATTCATCTCATTTGATGCAGACATAGCACCCAGTTCCTTTAAACCAACAGAAGGCATTGCAAGCATGGATGACAGCTAAATAGATGAAAGGCTGAAATAATATTTCCAGCAAGTATGATCAGAGCTTCAAGAGAACTGGTTATTGCCCTGGAGCTCTAGACAATAACTGTCTGTGAAAGAGAATAGAATCCATAGCAAATGAAACAAAGGAGCTAAATTTGACTCAAAGTGAGAAAATGCTTAAATTCACTGCCCTCACTCAGGACTCCCACACCATGATGGAAGCTGTGGAGAACCATACTCATTGGTTAACTCTGCATGTTTGTGGTATAGAGGAACATGCAGAAAGGAGCTTCCAATTGGTAGTCTCTCATGGCAGCAGGACCCTGGGATCCTCAAACATCACAGAGGAAGCAGCTATTTACAGGGTGCTAGACATTAAAGCACTGGAGTCAGTCCAACTTTCTGATAAGGATGACAACTTCCATCCCCATGTTGCCACCTGAACAACCTTACTTGAAAAAGTATAAACAGAAAACCTGAAATGACTCTCAAGAAATGGAGTGACAGTTGTACATCACTTTCAAGATGGAGGCCAGACAGTATCCTCTCAGAAATTTTTTGTATTTAAATATTTGTATGTTGGTGCTCATCTTGATATATGATCTAGAGAAGCTTACTAAATCTGCTATTCAATACCACTGAAAAGTGGCGTTTCTGCTTACTTTCTGAATGTGCTATCATGAGGGTCCTGTGTGTGAAAGGGGACATTTCTTTTTAACTCTCAACTTAATCTCAGATTCTCATTCAGGATTAGTGGGAACAGTTAGTCCTGTTACAAGAATGTAATACAGATGTATGATTGTTCAGGTTCCACTATAGAAACAGATAGTAGCAAGCTGATGCAGGGGCAACCGGATGCTAACCTCCTTATTTTCAATAACTTAAAAGTCATATTTGTGAATGAATGTGAATGGATTGGGTTCTGTTATTAAATATCAAAAATTGAGAACTTTGATCACGTCATCTTAAATGTATAATTTATACATCAATTTGAAATGAAGTTTTCTACCTGTCTCTGGATGGACAAAGAAAACCTTCAAAAAAATTTACTTAGCCAGCAAGTGTCAGAAATCTTTAGGTTGGCAACACGCTTTGGTATCATTTATTTATTATTAACATTTATATGTGGTTTTATCTGTTAAAAAGCCACCAATAAGGCTTATGAATGTAAAATATAATAAGATTAAAAAGAAAAAAGGGATAAAACACTCTATTAAATGTCATGCTGCTTCTGCTATAAATCACAATTATGACAGCTGTAGTACAACTAATTAATTAGAATTAATTACTTCATTGGATCTCCTTTTTCCTTATTATGATATGGAATCTGTTATGCTACTGTTTCATTTTAAACTGTATTTCATATTATATGTTACCAAATTGGATGTAATTGTTAGTCCAGAAGCTGTCCAATGATTTAGCTGGTTATCAGAATCATAGGACCATCTCAGATGATGAGTATAGATGTGAGAATTCAGCTTCCTGTCCTACTCATCAGGCCTGCCTGCCTACCCATCCACCTTGAGGACTGCCTTGTGTGCCCTTGTATCTGGGTATATAAAATCCGGTACTGATGGGCCTAGACTGCACAATTTCTTCACTATATATTAATTGTTTTGTTCAGACTGATGCATATTGCATTTTAGGGATGTATGGCCTATTTAGGGAAGTCTGGTGTATCATTTTTTAAAAAATTTCATATTGTTGACAATTTTGGACATCCTCAGATTGAAAGGCGATGTATGCATTTACTAGGGAAAGAAATATTAAGACTTTTAAAAACTGGAAATTCCCTGCTTTATAGACACACAAAACTTAAATGTTATAAAAGATCTGCTAACATTGTTCTTTTGTTTCTTCACAGAAATAAGTTGTTCCCTGAATCTGTCATCAGAAACATTATGTATCAGATATTACAAGGGTTAGCTTTTATCCATAAGCATGGTAAGTTTCTTGCTACTCTACTTTCTATGAGTAAAGATGTAAATGTATAGCAATGAGATGAGAGGGAGAGTGGAAACTGAAGAAGTACTTTATGGGCTGTTAAAGTGTAGTTAGGATATATTACTTCTATTATATAGTGCCGAAAGACTAAACAGAGAATGAACCTTCTGATTGATGCTGCCACATACTACACTGATGCTACTTTCATACTACAATTGGAAAGAAAATGACATTCATATATTTGTAATTACATTGTAGCAGTTCTTGAGCTGGCAATCCTTTCTCTTCCCGAAAGTGTTTTGTTTAGAAAGATATTTATATTTTTTCAATGTAAGATTATTTTTTTTAAACCTGAGGCTGTTTCTCTGTTATGCATTTCACTCATTTTATAATAAATATATTCAGAGATCAATTATTCCTTTTTCTGGAGGTCTGATTGACCTATGCCGATCATAACAAAAGGTTAAGACCTTTTTATTTAATCAATATTTTAACAAGTTTTAATATTGAATTTTATTACCATATTTTAATTGCAGCCAGAATGGGTTGTTTATTTATTTATGTTATACTGTTATGTATTGAACTTTATTTGTGTAATCCGTCTTGAGGCTCTCGCAAAGGACGACATACAAATACCTTAAATAAATAAATACATAAATAACTCACACATTATGGGTAAATGAACCATGATTTGCTGCGCACGAGCAGGAGTGCATGCACTTCACTTCCACTCTGAATCAACTGGACCATAGGTTGAAAGCATGCACATGAACCTGGAATGCTGGTTTGGTTAGTCCACCAAACAGCAAGCCACAGGTTAACCACTCTGGGTTTGTTTGTTGTGCTTACAAATTGTGGGTTAATAATGTGTGTACTGAATCTCTCTCTTAAACATAAAGTGGCCATGTAATAATATTTTACATCATGTTTAGACAGGACTGTTTAAATAAGCTGCCTTCTAGCTACTTGAATTTCTAATTTGCTCCAAGACTGATTAAATTTTTAGCAAACCTGTCCCATTCCAAATTTTTAGACAAAATACATAATACACCTGGTATATTATTTTACTTTCTAGTTTATTCTATTTTTACATTTACATAGCATTTGATTCCCAAGAGCTCTGCAAGGTTTAGCATCATTTCAGAGTTGTCTGTTTCAGACTCAAAAAAGAGAACATGTGTAAACTTGTTAACAAAAGGTGCAGTATTCCTCAGCATGGGAAGCTTCCCTGCAGAGAATACCCTTGCTAGGTTGCACTTGCATGACCGAGTGCTGCTGTGGTAGGTCTTGTGGCTAAAGGCAGTTGGTCACTGCACTGTTCTCTGTGAACACAGTGCTGATCAAAGGGTTGTTGAGGTCAGCTTTGACACTGTCAAGTCTGGGCAGAATCCCTGCAAGTTATAGGCATACTTTTTAAAAATGCAGTTTTCGCTCTAGTATGTTAAATTACTGGGAAATGGAAAAAATAAATTAGGTCCATGCTTTGTCATGATTAGAATAGATCTATTGAAAAGAATGGGCAAGTTAGTCATGACTAAAATCCCATTGAGTTCAGTGGCGCTGCTCTAAGCATATTAAGTCCAGATACCACCTGTTATACAACCTTTCTTCCTAACAGTAATTTGGAAGATTCCTTTCATTCAACAGAACTGCAAGTTATCTCACACTTTATTTAGTATTTTGAAAAGGCAGCCAGACTGAGGATTTTTTTGTTAACTAACTAGTGGCACAACCATTTTTATGACAGCTGTTTTAATCTGATTCAGAAAGGACAATGCCCTTATTGCCCAATAATAAGGATTTTGAATATGTTTTTTACTGGTGGTAGCTGTTGATACAATGATCAGTTGATTTATTTCCTAGTCTGGTTTTGTATTCATAGGATTTTTCCATCGAGATATGAAACCAGAAAACCTTCTCTGTATGGGCCCAGACCTTGTTAAAATAGCTGATTTTGGTTTGGCCAGAGAACTAAGATCACAACCTCCATATACTGATTACGTTTCTACCAGATGGTAAGTATATTATTCAAAAGGAACTTTATCTCCATTTCATATCTCTGCAAAAATGTAGTTATTTATCTTCATATCATAGGTACCGTGCACCTGAGGTTTTATTGAGATCTTCTGTTTATAGTTCTCCTATTGACATATGGGCTGTTGGCAGTATAATGGCTGAACTCTATACACTAAGGCCACTTTTTCCAGGAACAAGTGAAGTTGATGAAATCTTCAAAATTTGCCAAGTATTAGGAACCCCAAAGAAGGTGAGCTATTTTGAAAACGTATACTATTGCCATTCTTAGGAATAAAATTAACAGCTATTGTTGGGTACTGTTTTGGTCCTGAATTGCCTGTAGATTTTGTTTAATTTCACTAAATGCTTTGGCAGCTACTTGATGGTTCCTGACTAGAATTTGTTCACATTTGAACAAATGAAAATTATTTGCCTTGAAAATTATTCATTTCCATGTGGTATGTCCTGTTTAAGTACTTATCCTCACCATTATTTTGAAAGCCATATAAATTAAATATGCTTTTAAAAAGGATTCTTGTGTGACTTTGCATAGACTGCTCTTACACAGTGAACTATGTTGATGTTTTTTGTATTGCTCTAAAGGGTATTTGTTCATGTCTTTTTAACAGAGTGATTGGCCAGAAGGATACCAACTTGCCAGCGCAATGAATTTTCGATTCCCTCAATGTGTCCCCCTAAACCTAAAGACTCTTATTCCAAATGCCAGCAATGAGGCAATTCAACTTATGACTGATATGCTGAACTGGGATCCAAAGAAACGACCTACAGCCAGTCAGGTATTTAAGCCTTGTAGGAATAACAATGTGGAAAGTTCACATCAAGCTCAGTGAGTTCAGAGTAATGCCAAAAAGCTGTTCAGCCATTACTTGAGACTCATTAAAGATTCAGCTGCAGATTCAGCTGTCATCCAGGTGGCAGTCTTCCAACACCAGATGGAAGGTTATTGTTTAGTCATACCTGCAAAATATATAAACTAATTTTGTAAGCCGCCCCGAGGCTTCGGCGAATGGGGCGGCATAAAAATGTTTTCATAAATACATAAATAAATAAATAATTTTGCAAAACTCTGCAGATAACCAAGTACATTGGCCAAAATATATGTAAAAGGAGAAGAAATCTCTGACACCCTGCCCCAAGGCTATGAAAGTTAGTTTTTAAAATGATTTGCAGCTGTTTCCAGATACAGCCAAGATGGAAATGGTGCTCTGTTGGGAGGCCTGAGGCTTTGGAGCAATGTGATCTATGTGTAGGTGGGTCTATGCATTGTCCTGCGCAGCCTGTTCTCTTTGGCCATGCTGCTTTTATTGATAATCTACTGGTGGTGGTGTTCAGGGCTGCTGTTAGCTAATTACACCTGATATATCCACTCCATTCTTTTACCAATAGTCTAAACTGTCCAACAGTTATCCTTGCCTTTATAATTTCAAAGGATGGATACAAAAAGGCGCCCTTAAAGACAGTTTGAAATTTGCTGTAAAATCACACGTTTCCAGTCCATAGATGTGGGCAAGCAAGAACATGTGAGCAGGTTTTCATCTGCTCTGGCAGCCAGTGGGCTTCAGGGGATTGTTCTTACTTTTAAAGCCATTCATGGCCCTGAATGATATAAAATAGTTGGCACAACTACTTTTATAAACCCACTTGGCTTCCAAATGTATCTTTGAGCGTCAGGCCCCAAATTCCTTCCTTTAGGGATATTGGATGGTCATCAACAATGAGCAGAACATTCTTGGTATATCCTCTAATTTTATAGACTAATATACCCCAAGATGCATGTTTATGTCCCACCTGAGTGACCAGAGAGAGGGGAAAAATTGGCTTCTGGATGATTTTTCACTGCTACAGTTTCTTTTAAAGTTTTATTTCTGTTTACTGTTTTTATACTATAATCTGCCTTTAGCCTTTATGGAAAAGCAGGAATAGAAAAATGTTTTAAATAAAGTATTGTTTGCATGTAATGCAGTTTTAAGTACACCAAAGCACTTCCTGTACATTACGTACCTGTGTAATCCTTTTATCACCCTGTAAGGTACACCATTATTACTGTCATTTTATTTTACAGAGGAGTCGAATACTGGGTTGCCAAGACTTAAGAGAGTTTGAATTATGTGGGATTTGAATTGGGAACTTCCTGGCTTCCATTCATTGTACTGCTTCAGCTCCACATTTTTACATGGATTTAAAGTTCTTTCTTGACTCAGGATTGCTGACCTGTTCAGTCCTGTGTGCACTACTTCCCATCCCACGAAACTTACTTTCCCCTTGCTGTGAGATTTTGCTAGATTCATTTCCAAATAGAGACCTTTTTGCCAGTTTTACACTAGAAGCAGTATAAACCTTTAGCTGCATTATTAACACCATTGGCTTTTTTCCAGGCATTGAAGTATCCTTACTTTCAAGTTGGTCAGGTTTTGGGACCACCTCCACAGTGTCTGGATCAGAAACAATTTCATTCCAAGTCAGCTCAGTCAACAGATCCAAAGCCATCTGTATCCAAACTAGAACCTGTATCAAAATTAGAACCTGTATCTAAGCCAGAATCTCAGTCTTCACCAGATACACCTGACAAGTTTCAGCTGCAGTGCCCATCCAAGAATAACCAGCACCCCCTCCAGCCAATTCATATGCCACAGAATGCAACTAACTGGCAACCACCAAAGCAGCAACAGCAGCCGCCACAATCCTTCCTTCCAGCCATCAATAAAAATTCAACACAAGTAAGTTGTCATCAAGAAACTGCTTACCTATGTTCATGTCAAAGTACAGGTGCTGCAAGTGTCTCAACTCAAGTCTGAAAGGTGGGGTGTGAATGTTGTAAATTAATAAATAAGCAACCCACTCTGGGATCCTGTTTTATATTTTCATTCATTCAAGAGGGCTTCCTCACTTGCAGATACAGAAGCATGTTCTTGTTAATTACAATTTTAATTTGGTATTTTATATTTTACAGATTCTTTTAAAATCCCATTATGTGCCCTTAACACTTCTTTTCTCTCTGAACCTGCATAGATCTCTCTCATATCTTTTTCTGTCCACCTCATTAGACTCTTTCTCTCTTGTTTTCTTTCTTCCCTCCTCCCCTCACTTCCACATTCTCTATAGCCTATATTCTATCTGCACACCACCCTCCCCTTGAAAGGGGGGCTGCTGCTTATAGGTATTTTTAAACCCTCAGTTCTCAGTCTCTCCTTTTTCTTCTTTGCTCCTGTTTCCTGTATACTACTTCCTTTTCTCCATTACTTGACAGCAGCTGTGTATGCAAAGCATTTCCCTGTCTAACAATTCATTCAGAATTTCTGATAAAAGTGTGCCATGAATTTCAGTTGGCTGACAAAGCTGCTGTCAACTCCCCCACCTGTTTTTTGAATCCAGGGAGAAGAGGAGCAGTGCAGACAGGCACCTATCCCTGCTTCCCACTGCTTTTGGGTTTATGTGGGCTGCAAAAATTCTCTCAAAGTTGAGGAGAAAGAATTCAGGAAAATGGCATTGAGAATTTTGTTAGGAATTGCAATTGGTTGATAGGCTGTAAGTTAGGTCTGACCTAAAGTAGTCAGGCTTGAAATGCTGGCAATACTAGTTGTTTGTATTGTTTGTATTCATTAGTTGTTTGTATTCATACATTTGTATTGTTGAAAATAAATGTGGGATGCCCATTGTTGTATGTCATTGATTAACTCATTTTTTATGATGTGAAAGTGAGTTTCATTTTTATATTTTTTGTCCTGTTTAAAAAATATTCCAGCCACTATCCACACAATTCTTTTGGGATAAGTTTAAATCTGTTGAATATCCATGACTTTCATTGTCGATCCTTGATTTGGTACCTGGGAATCCTAGCAAAAAGTAAAGAGTGAAAGCAAAGCTTAATTAATTTGAGCTTTTAAAAGAAGGGACATGAAAGAGTTGAGGTGTGTCACATAATTAACATAATTAGAGTGACCAAAGGGATGAGAAGATAAAGGCTATCCCTTATCATGGCCTTTATCATCTAGCTGTAACTCTTACTCTCCCTTTTCAATAGAATTGATGAAAGAAAGGTTGCAGTCCCTTTGACTTGAAATTGCTTCTTAACAAACTGCAGCAAGACCCTTTTGGGAAAACCAGTATGGGATTTGGCTTCAGTCACCTTTGTGCTTTATATTACCTTTCTAGATAACATAGGTTTGTCTTTTGTTAGAGGGCTTGATCTCTTTGTACAACTATTTTCTTTAATATTTTCTCAAAATTTTTATTGGACACAGGACTAGGGAAGAGAAAGCAAAGCAACTATATCCCGTCCTTCAACAGTAGAAGTGTTTTCAGCAATTCTACTGTCTTCTATTCTTTGAGGAAACTTTGGTCTTTTTTGATACTTTTCATGGGGTCAGGTCAGGGTATTTTATGCTATGCTTTTGCACTGAGAAACCCTGCAAGGCCCACAAATACTTCCAATCATAGTTTTCAATCTAGAGTGATAACGTATAAGTTGTTAAGTATGTCAGAAATAATATCAGTTTTTTTATATAATCAAAACAGAAGCAAATAATCGTAGGACCTTCAAATGGTGCTGTGGGACTGAAAAACTGTCGGCGTCGCTGGGGTCAAACTATATTAAAGACCATGGATAGTTGGGATGATTTAGATGATACAGAATTTGGAATTTCATATTCTAAGAAGCCCAGCATTACTGCATTAAGTGAAAAGAAAACAAATGACTCTCTTTTTAGGTAAGATACTATATATCTTTCCTCTTTCTTATCAATATATAACTTCCACATTTGGCAGGTATAAAGCTATGCCCATTGTTAGCTCTCAGCGTGTTTTATAGGTTTTCCCAGTTTACAGGGAAAATCTATTGTAGCTTTTAGTAATTTTAACATATGTGCAGTTAATATTGTAATCATATATTTAATGAGTATTTTCCTGTCTGAAAACACACTGTCTTCAGTGGATTGTCTCAGAGAAAAGTTTATATTCTTTGTTTTACTTAAAGCAGAGAAAACAATGTGGAATTCCTTTAAAGTACTTGTTCTTTTAATACAAAGTTCCCTGTTTGTATTTGGAAGGGGTTTTTTAAAAGCATCTTCCCCACACTCCTTCAATTTTCATGTTAATTGTTCATGCAAAAGTGAATTGCAATCTGAGTACATTAAATATTGATTATTTATTAATCTGACAAGAATTTAAATAATTAAATGTGTGTGTTATTCTGGTAGCTGAAAAGGCATAGCCCCGTCATTGAAACATTAAGTATGGTGACAAGTCACAGTGATGACCAGCACATGGCCAGGGTGGTCACCAGCTCTTCTGTGCTTAATCATTAGCATGTTGCTTTGTCATTAACTTCAGTGCTGGCAAGATAAGGAACATACGCTGTCCTGTACTGAGTTAAAATGTTGATCCACCTAGGCCAATATTTTTGACACTGACTGACAGTGACTCTCCAGGATTTCAGGCAGGAGGTTTTCCATCCCTGCCTGCAGATTGTACCTGGGACCTTCTGCATGACAAGAACAGTTAGAAGATTCTGCAATGCCTTTGGGAAGAAGCAGAAGAGTAGACTATTATTAAATTACATTATTATTACATTTGCTTGAGAACCACCCACCAGCATCATGCTCCCTCGGAAAGATTTTTCCCCAGCCTTCCCCAGCCTTGTGCCTTAGAGACACATGGGACTGCAACACCCAGGATTCCCAGTCAATGGCCCTGCTGGATGGGAATTCTGGGAGTTGTGGTCCAAATTCCTCTGAAGGCCACAAGGTCAGGGAAGGCTGTTCTACACTTTAAGCAGAAATTTGTGGCATTGGAGGTTCTGTCATCGATACAACACATACACAATGTGCCATGATTGTATCCATCTGCCCTGGATAGCGCAAAACAGATACTGCCTCTCATTTGGTACAAATGCCAAAGTAGTGTACAAAAGAATTAACTGCCCCCCACCCAATCCCCTCCTCCAACATACCCACATGCATGCTTACCAAGAATAATATTCTAAGTGTGGAACCAAAGATAATCCACAGCTGAAGGAACACCAAAATGTTCAATGCATGCCTAAAACATACCAGTGGAAACCCTGACACACTTTGGAGGGGAGATTATTCCACAGGGCAGGCACCACAGCAGTTTTCCATTGGCACCCAAATGGAAATCTGTAGGCCATGATATGAACAATAGAGTTTCTTCTGAAGATCATAATGGCCTGGGGGGCATGGAGGGATTCCTTTACGGAATGTGGACCTGGGCTTTGTATACTAAGAACACCTTACACCTGTCTTAGTACCAGACAGCAGCCAGTGTAGATTCTTTAGTGCACACATAAGATGCGCACAATAAGGTACCCTAGTCAGTATTTTATTTGCTACATTCTTTACTAGTTGTAGCTTCTGAACGAGCCTTAAGGATAACTCCACTTAGAGCACATTACAGTAATCCACTCTCAAGGTTACCAATGCGCAGATCAGCTGGGTAGGCTTTCCCTGTCCAGAAATAGAAACAATTGGTGCACTAGCCTAAGCTTCTGGTAGGTGCTCCTGGCCACAAAGGTCATTTGGGCCTCCAGTGACAATGATGAACCTGGAAGCACCTCCAAACTGAGAAGCTTTTCCTTCAGAGGGAATACAGCCCCACCCAGGGATGGTAATTTCCCTAATTCCCCAGCATGGGAACCTCTCTCTCACAGTGCTTCTGTCTTATCTGATTTACTTGAAGGTAAATGGGCATAGGGGTGAAATATCCTTTTTCTTACAACCCTTTAAAAAAAGTCACTTGAGTAATAAAGTGCACACTCACAGTTGTGAAGTATTATCTTATACTACAAATTAAGTGGTTACATTTATCCCCAAACAATAAAAGGTTTGCCTGTGTATACATTTCACATGTTATGCCAGGAAATAAAAGGCTCTTGAGACAATCAAGTGATCACATAGTGAGGCTTCTCCTGTGTTATATTCAAGAAATTCCTTGTATGGATGCTTCCTGGAGGGAAAAAACCCCTAAATGTAGAATGTGTGGGAGAAGGCTCAAGTGGAAACTCTACAATCTAGATTTCTGTGTATAGGTGGGGGTAGCAGGGAATAATTTGGTCATAAAATTTTCTACCTGCCATCTGAACTGGCATTGGCCAGGAACTATAGAGACCCTCCTAAATTAAAAAAAAAAAAAGCAGTACAGGCAACGGCAAGAAAACTCAAATACAGACTGGCCCTAATCATATACTTCATAAAGGTTACTTCCTGGATTAGTATGGAATTACTGACTGCTCAACCTTTTGAATAAGGGTGAGTTGGATGGAGAAATATGCCTATTTTTAAATTGGTACATAATGAATTGCTCCCACCCCCGTTCCCAGCATTTTCTGTTTTATCGACATGTGCTTTAACTTTAGATGCTGTATGTTATCTTAATTTCAGGCCTTCAGTGAATGATGGTAGAACATGTGATCAGTAAACTTTGTCTTTATTTATGTGCAGCATTTTACCCATTCAGACCAAAAAGTTCCCAGAGAGGATTACAAAGATTAATAATAAGACTGTCCCTGCCCTTGGACTTAGAATCTAAAAGAAATTATAGAAAAGAAAAAGGAATTGGGAGGGAGGAAGAAACTCAATCACCAGTTCTAAGATTTAAAGTTCTTACAGATGTTCTTTTTGGCTAGAAAGGGCTCTCTCCAGGTGATTCCAGGTATAGAGTTGGTCTCTCCCTTGCTATTATTCCGTTCTTCCTGGAAGGCAAGGGATGTTCTTCCAGTTGTTGTTTGTCCCCTAGTGCAGCATTTCTCAAACTGTGTTCTGCAGAATCCAAAAAGCCTCATAGGGGTTCTATGAAAAATCTCAAAAACCAAATTTAAAACAGATTTAAAATTTAAAATTAAGCCACTGAGGCCAACAATCTGATTGTCAGTTGGGGTCCAAGCAGCAAACAAGGAAATGCATGATGTCATTTGGCCCTAGGACTCTATTGCATAGTGTTGGGAATAATATAACTCATTTGGAATATTACCATACAATTGCTTTATATTCATTTTTTATATTTAAAATGTTTTCTCTTTATTTCCAAGCCTACTACGTTATGCAGAGCACTCAGGCAATAGAAGCAGATGGAAAAAGGAACGCTATGGGTTCACAATGATTAGTAAAAATCAGGGATAGAGTTAGGGTCCCACAGAAAAAAACATATCTTCAGAAAGGTTCTGTGACAAGAAAAGTTTGGAAACCATTTAGTGGATGGATGAAGCTAAAGTCTGCATTCCATGGAACTATCAACTAGATGTTTTATTTTTTTATTTTGTTTTATTTATTTATTTATTATTATCATTATATGTTTTATTTATTTATTTATTTATTTATTTATTTATTCAAGATATTTGTATGCCATCCTTTGCATGAACCTCAGGATGGCTTACACAAATAAAATACAAATACCTGACATAACATAAATGTTCCTTCTCTGTAAAGAGTGAAGGCATTTCCCAACAGCTTTGCTCCCTACCTCCCTCTCTGGCCAGTGTATGCGGTCTAATTGCTCTCCTGTTTGCAGTAACATTCATCCTAGGAGGCAGGGAGAGCTTCCTAATGGCCCTTGGCTTTTGGCAGGTAGATGAAAACTTGTTCTAGATCAAGAGTTAATTTGTGCTGCCATGCGTTACCTTCACTTGCAGTGTTCCTGAGTTGAAGTCCCCCAAGTGTGCCCAGTCAGGAGGCGAAAACAAAATTCTGAAGAGAAATGACTCTGGAATATCAACAACATCAGCAAAACAATACTACTTAAAACAGTCAAGATACTTACCTGGTAAAGGGGCACATCTTTAATGTTTTTGATTATTTTGGGCTTTTTTACTCATTTTGACAAAATGTTCACAGGTTGGAAGAATTTCCATGTTTTCTTCTCATTTACATAAATTGGAAGAATATATAAATAAAGTTGAAAATAGTTGTTGTCTTCGTACTAGTGAGTCTCTGGGCACTTAGCTTTTTATGGTGTGAAGTTGTGAAACTATGTGCCAGGCCATAGCTAGCATGGATGTCTTAGCTGAGAACAGTGCATCTTGTTCCTTATGCCTACTGTGAGTTTGGACTCATCTGTATTTCTCAGACAGTAATCCCATACTGCATAGTGCATTGTTTTTCAAGCTCAGAGGAATTGTGTGTTACATTTTTATCCTGCTTTTTCCTCCAAGGGGCCAGTGGAGGTGTACATGAGCCTCAGGGACTGAAAAAGTCTGGGGCTCAGGCCCACAGGAAAAAAAAATGCACACATTTGTATATGTTAATTTACATATATGGTAAAGAATTTGTTTGTCTTTGAAGGGCATGCCTATTTGTAAAGTTCACCATTCCTGTCTATTTTAGTTTGCTGATTCCCAAGATGTTGATGTTCAGTCTTGTCATCTCATGTTTGACCACATCCAGCTTACCTTGATTCATGGATCTTACATTCCAGGTTCCTATGCAGTATTGTTCTTCACAGCATCAGACTTTCCTTTCACCACCAGATACATCCGCAACTGAGTGTCCTTTCAGCTTTGACCTAGTCATTTCATTCTTTCTGGTGCTACTAGTACTAGCCCTCTGCTCTTCCCCAGTAGCACACTGGACACCTTCCAACCTGAGGGGCTCATCTTTCGGCATCATATCTTTTTGCCTTTTGGTACTGTCCATGGGGTTTTCATGGCAAGGATCCTGGAGTGGGTTGCTATTTCCTTCTCCACCTTTTGTCAGAGCTCTCTGCTATGACCTGACCATCTTAGGTGTCCCTGCACAGCATAGCCCATACCTTCATAGAGCTACACAACCCCTTCACCACGGCAAGGCAGTGATCCATGAAGGGGAGTTCAATGGTATGATGCATATTTTATATGCAGAGTGTCCACGGTTAAATCCCTAGCATCTCCAGTTAAAGCAATTTGGCTTGCAGGGTGAAAAACCTTGGGGAGCTGTTGTTGCCAGTCAGACCGGTTGTTCTGGCGTAGATTCACCAGTGGTTTCTGTATATCAGCCTCAAATCTATGCTCTTTGTGTCTAATGTTGAAAGACTTAAAATGGAATGTTTAATTCAGCTCGTAAGGTCATTATCAATATCTTATTCCATAGCCAAGTATACAGAACAATTCCCAAGCATAAGCTTTGTGTGAAGGATCATCAGTATTGGGGAACTGAATGTGTTTTGTCCTTGAGAGCTGAAGAGTAGAGCCCAGTGAGATATATTATATGCATGTGGGACTGCCAGCACTGTGTGGCTTTTCTTAGATTTTTTAGCACTACCTTCTAGCTGTACGAGTGCAAACAACAGTGCAGTTTTGTTGGGTGATAGCCACTGTAGAATAGAATAGTGCAGAAAGTTTGTTCATTGCGGTTAGTGGATTGTCTTCCAGGTATTATTTATTAAACGGTAAGGTTAAATTGCTCATATTGGTGATTTAAAGATAACAATTATTTACACATGGAAATGGGCTTTTAAAGGAACTGGTGGCTCTTTTTTGGAAGTGGCTCCACATATAGGTAGGCAGATGGTTTTTTGACACAGCTTTCATTGAAACCTGTTGGAAAATAAATTGAGGTGGGGTGTGACCTGAATTTGCAGTTATATGCTAACCTTTAAAATGATTATTTTTCTAAGGTGTAAACCCTAAGAATGTCTCCTCAGGAGCAGTCAGTAAGGAAGGATCACATCATGGTACCTGGAATAATTCCTTATTTTCAAAACCAATAGCACCAATTGGAGGCCTGTCTTTCAGTCGAGTCAATGCAGGTAATTAATATTTGTACTGTTAAATTCAGTGTGCTGCAGATCGTTCTTTGATAGAGTTTATAATATTAGTTTCCAGTATTATTTTTGGTTTTTTTCACTGTTTAATATGCAGCATCTTTTTAGTGGCCATGAGTTGAACATAGCTTTTCACTGTAACAAGCATGCAGCCAGAGATAGTGGCTGTAGTAGTAGGAAATGTCCATCCAAATTTGCAGTGTAAAAAGAGGCTGTGTAATCTGAATGCATGTTGTAATGCAGATACATGTCCAGACACTATTTTGCAGCTCTGTAGGCCACTTTGTAAGTTCAGGGAAGGAAAATGAGCCAGTGTATCCTATTTTCGTGCCATATATGCTAGGGCAGAGGTCCCCATCCCTGGGCCAAGGACCAGTACTGCTCTGTGGCCTGTTAGGAACCAGGCTGCACGGCAGGACTCTAACTTCAGATGATCCAGAGTTCAAACTTTAGAATCAAAATAAGATTGTTCTGCAGTTTGAACAATGCTTCTAAGTTAGAACTGTGAGCAAAGTGAAAAAATGCAGTTGCCGCAAAAATGTCATTGATTGTGCGCCAAAGTCAGAAAAAATATATTACACTAAAAGACACATTGCCTCGATTCATCTCACATCCATTCATCTTGTCAGGACATTGAGGCAGCCACAACAGAGCAGCTCAAGAACAATGGGGTAGGTGTATTTGAAGCGAGGGGAAACATTTTGAGGGGGATTAATGCCAATGTATCTTTTACTGTAATAATTTTTCTATTTAAACATTCACCATATTTTTGATCACACCTCATATATAATCTCAAACTTAATTTGTTTCAGGAAGCCATATTTGCTGTTTAAATTTATCGAAATGGGTATTTTTTAGGTTCTGGGAACAGATTAATTCAGTTTCCATTTTTTCTAATGGGGCAACTTGATTTGGACTTTGAACGATTCAGAGTTCAAGTGGTCTCCTGAAATGAATTAAGTTCAGAGTATGAGGCACCACAGTAATGCACTTGAATCATCCCGAAACCACCCCCCACCCCACATCTGTGGAAAAATTGTCTTCCACGAAACCAGTCCCTGGTACCAAAACGGTTGGGGACCACTGTGCTAGCATGGGAAAATAAAAACAAATCATGTTGGATGGTTTATAAACTCTGCCTCCACACATGCCAGGTTCAGACAACAGGACAAACCTCGTCCAGTGAGGGTATTATGTGAATCCTGCAGTTCCTTGCTGCCATATATGGGGCCAGAGCATAAGCCTATAGTGGTTTATTTTCCTTCCCTAGTTGTGTAGACCTGGTCTCTTTCTTCAAGCAAGTGCAGCAGGACATGCATTTTTCTTGCTGGATGCAATGAGTAAATTCCTTATTGATATGGTGTTTGCAACTATATTTCACATAAATGTTTTATCCTGCTTGGTTTTATCAAATTCCCAGTGATATACATTAAAAATCCATGTTATTGTGTCGAGGAGGTACATACTAAATCTAATATTGAAACATGGTTTCATAAACTTTTCATTCTTGATCTGGGTAAATTGCTGGTTTATTATATGTTTCTGTTGGTTTGAAATTATTAGAGAATGTATTATCAAAAGAAACCAGATGAAAACAATAGTTCCAGTTCTCATATATTGTAAATTTCAGACTAACAAAATTAAAAGAGAGGTGATCCAGCTTCTTTTTTATTTCCATTTGAACAAGACGGGTGGTTGTGTGTATTTTTCACCTATAGCTACAGTTACATGTCAGCTTATTCAAATCCTTTGCATAAATTATTAGTTAATCGGAAAACCAACTGAAGCAGACTATTTTATCTGGCAGAGTTCCAATGTTTTGGTTTATTGTGTGAAATTGAAGAGTAAGTCATTTCCGGGATATTCATTTCTTTAGATTTTTCTGTGTATGTCTTTGCATGTCAAATAGTTGATCTTGCAAGAACTTTGTGGGTTTGCTTAATTTTTCTGAGTTTGCATTGAACTGCTGCAAAAACAAAAATACATATGAAAATATTGGAAGTACCACATAAAACTAAATAAGCTTCAGAGGCAGGTAAAATACTTTCCTTAATTAGCTATCTTATTTAATCTATTTTAAATACTAACGAGATTTAAAGAGGCTTCTTTCCATGCAGATATGTATAGTATTCTAGGTGTTTTGTATTGTTTTGAGAGAGAAATGTACACTATATAATTGTTACAATTCTGAAGTATTTTCTTTCTAAGATTAATAAAGCTAATTCAGCCTAACTGTGCTCTGTTTCCTTCAAAGTTAATACTGACTTAATCGGTCTAAGCAAAGTCTTCATAATAAGGGATCATTGGTTCAGGCTTCTATTTTAAAGATAATCCCTCTTTTATTTTTGCATTTCTTCCATTCATTTCATATGTTCATTCTTTTCATCCTTTTCTTTCCTCCATCTGTTTTACTGCCTCCTCTGGAGAAGAAAACTTAATTAAACCTATTGAAAAATTGTCTTGCAAAGAAAGAGTGAATGAAAAATTAGAGGATGCAAAAGGTAACTCATAGCAATTATATTTGCCAGCACATAATCCTTTGTAAATTTAGGATTACTAATCTAATCCTATTTATATTGCTTTTTATCTTCAGCATTTTGTGTGATATATGTCATGGCATCTGTCTATCAGCTCTTACATTCACAGAGAGCTTCATACGGGGAATTTTCTACCTTCCTATATTACCAGAGGATTCTCCAAATATCCATGCTATTCTCATTTAAAGAAGAGGCTAATAGAATTGATGGGTTCCAAAGAGCTATTTGAACCAACACTGTTCAAATACAATATCATTCAACTCCAATGCTACTAACTGGGTTTGCATTTTATGTCATGTGAACCTGGACCAATTCCTGCATTTGCTTGTTAATGGACAATAAGCCAGTCCATGGGTTGTTTTTAGGGGTTGTTGTACCTGTGATAGATTATTGTGTTTTCTCAACTTTGGTCAAGAGCCCCTTGCTGGGTTGGAGGGATCAGCTAGCAAGACACTTGGCAAGAGTGAAAAAAACCCTTTCTGCTTTTGCCAAGTTTGCCTGGGCATCCACCAGTGTCAGCCACCCCAAGTCTTCAGCCTGTCCCGGCTTCTCTTCTCTTCTCTTCTCTTCTCTTCTCTTCTCTTCTCTTCTCTTCTCTTCGGCTGATTATCTTTTTTCCAGGTGATTGCAAAAACATCCTGGCACCTTGGAGGGCTGTCAAAGTCAATAAAACCTTTAACTGCACAATGTTTGCAAGTATGTTCTGTCATAGCTGCACTTGCACAATTGCAGAGGTAGTTGTCATTCATGTCTACAAATGTCCCTGTTGAGAAAACATGGGGTGCCTAGCCAGGAACCCCTTTAAAGGAAATGGGTGTTTTGTTGCCTATCTGTTAAAGCAAGGGCTCCTTTAAACAGTGGGGTGGGTTGTGCTTTTCTGTGTTTTTAAGCATCTAGAAGCTCAGGAACAACTGGAAAAGTATCAGGCCTAGGATACTCCAGTGCAAAAAACAACCAACCAACCAACCAACCAACCAAACAATTCTTGCTGCAGAGGGAATGTAAATTCTACCACTTCATTTTGTAAGCAAAGCTCACCTTTGCTTTCTCTTAACAGCTCACCTTTTGCTAGCTGTAAAAAGAAACCAAAGGGAAGACAAAATCCTATTTGGATCCTCTTTGGGTCCAGGTCCAGGGTTGGTACCCATTGCACTATGGCAGCAGGTACTTCCCAGGATGTTGACCCAGCTGAGGCTTCCAATTGCTGCAGCCACAGAAATGTGCACTATTGAGGTTGCACAAGCATGGCAACATTAAAAGAAAAATACTGTGTCATTGTGAACACATTAAAAAAATAAGTCCCACTAACAGCCCCTCCAATGTGCCACCTGAGCACAGTAAAGATATTCACATTCTTTTCACTTCCATAGGAGTCCTGTGTCCCTAAGCCCTGCAGAAGTGGAGGGCCAACTATACATGATACAGAATCAACTTATGGACAAATTTCTGTTTTCTCAGGAACATTTGTAACCTGAGGACTGAAGTGCCATGCACTTCATTCTGCTTCCTTGAAAGTTTCCTGTACTTTCAGAGTGAAGGTACCATCTGTCAACTGTGCATTCCTTCCATACAAATACTTGCTTCAAATTTGTGGATCCTGTTCCAATGTTCTTGAGGTTATATCAACTGCAGGGTATCTCTGGCACACCATGTTCCTTTTCAAACATCTGAATTATTTCATCCATCTCTGCTTCAGACAGTTAAGTAGGTCTTTCTTCCATGAAGACTGTTGCATAATTTAGGATGGGAAGGGCTGCACCTTTATTTTTGCCAGCAGCATTGCAGAAAGTGAACACACTACCAAGCTATTCACAGGCAGGAGTGTCATCCGAATATTGAAGACAACACCACCAATTTGGAATGGCAGTGCTTAAACAGGTAAGAATTTTCTTTTTTCTTCAATCCAGAGTGTTTCAATTTTGTTTAATCTTTTCAAGACTCGTCTTGCTCTTATTTTAGCCTCTCCTTTAGCTGCAATGAAAGGTTTGTTCCGTTTTGTATTTTTGTCTAGATGGACAACAGACAGAAGTGTCCACTGTTCTTCAATGGAATATTCTTCCTTATTCCTCAGAAAGTTTCAGCTACTTCCTTTGATCTCTCTGCTTTGCCTTCTGCAATAAGGATCCAAAAGAGCCCACTGTGGTTTGAGATGAGCACTGTGGACTGAAAGACTTGAGGTTTTAAGAATGTAAACCTGCTTGAGATTGCTGTTCTATTATGTTTAATATGTGCCTCATTAAAGGTGTATTTTACTTTTGGGTTGTTCTTGATGTAACTTACAATAAAGGATCTGGGGAAGTCAAATCAGCTATTTAGAGTCATCAGAGCGAAGGTTGCTGTGGCTTGCTAATTAGATTACTGCTTTTTTTATTATCTTTCTTTTTAAGCATATATCATAGTAAGGTTGCAAAATCTGTTTCCTGGCCTGCTTGAGGTCTCCTTGACACACTGACTGATGATAAGAACAGTCTGTCCCTGTTTTCCATAGCGTCCAACTGTAAAAACAATCTAAGTCACATCTTTAAAAGTAATTTAAGGTAGTGACCACATCTTTGAAATCCCTGCATTATTTTGTGTTAGGTAAAAGAGTCCTTCCTTTTGTCATCCTGACTCTGGTTTTCTAGTATTTTATTATCTTATTATTTCAATTTATATGCTGCTACCATAGCCCATGATTGAGCTCCCTGTGCAGTTTACAACAATTATAACATGAGAAAATCTTTGTGAGCACTGGCTGTACATTATACATCATTTAAAAGCAAACCCCTATCAAGTCAGGTCTTTCTAAACAAAAGTTCCGAGCTCCTTAGTTTTTCTTGTAGGGAAGGTACTTCAACCCCCTAATCATTTTGATTGCCCTTTTCTGCTCATTTCTGTGATACTCCTTTTAAAACTGCACACAATATTAGTCCAAGTGCGACTGCATGATAGATTTGTTTAGGGGAAATATTAAATTTCATTGTTTGGCATTTTTTTCTTCCAGTTCTTTTTTGAATGAACCTTAGCATAGAATTTGCTTTAAAAAAAAACAAGAAAATGGCATCCATAGAATCATGGTCAACTCTGAGTTTTTTGCTCTGTTGTACATTCTTGCTTTTTCTTTTTTGACGTTCCTGTTTGGGTCATAGACTGTGATCCCAGATGCAGGGAGCTAGACAGGGAAGGATGACCTCAGACTTCTTAAAGTTAGCAATCATTGCCTGGTTACTTATTAGCAGCTCAGCACCCATCACTGTATGACAGAAGGTAGCAATTTTGTGCTAACATGTATTATTTTGCACTTATGTTGACTCTCATTTGCCAATTTATTGCCTGTTCATTTAAGCAGTGAAGTGGTTAAGAGTGTGGGAGTGAAACTCATGTAATTTGGGTTCTGGTCCCCCTTCAGCTATCGGAGTAGTCTCAGATTCTCAGCCCAACCTACCTTACAGGGTTATTGTTGTGGAGTTAAGATTGAGAGGCAGAGGAGAATTATATAAGCTGCCTTGAGTTCCTTGAAGGGAAAAAGGCAGAATATTAATATAACGAATAAATAAAAGTTAAATAGGAGCTCCTTACACTCCTTGAGTTTGCTCTTTCGATGGCACAAGCTTGACCACTTCACCACCTATTCTGCTTCACTTTGACACCTACTATCTGCTTCCTGTTATTCTGGAACTACTAATACATAATGACTAATTCTGTCCTTTTCCACTTTGACTGCAAAGTTTACTCAGGAGCTTTTAATAAGAGGATCATTCCAGAACTGCACTGGTAAATCAGTTTCTCTGGCAGAGATTCATTAGTCCAAACCAGAGAGGATTTGGACACGTGCAGTGGGGTTTACCAGATTGTAAAAAATCGCATATGTACAGGAAGCTTTTTCAGTACATCTCTGAGCAGGACTATGGTGTTTGGGTAAGCAAGCACTGTTGGATGGAGGATGCTTCTGTTACACTCCTTAGGAATGCTCCGAGGTTGCCATAGGAATGGAATCCCTTAAAACAGAACTATAGTTGACATGGTTCCAATTGTGACTGATTTTATAGAGATGGCACTGCCTGAAGCACTGAGAGGAGCAAAGCTTCTACAGGGAGAGGAATTTCCTCCTGTTGGAATATTGTTTCTTGCCTTGGAGCTTCAGTTAGCGCCTTTTCCTATCGATACAGAGTGAATTGGATTTTTCGTTTTTCTACTGGTTAGACACTGAAGGCACATAAAAAGAACAAACAGACATGCTTGAAAAGCTAATGGATGGGGTAAACACCTCGATGTATTTTAGTTTTTTGTGCACAAGGAACTCTTCACTTTTGGTTTTTGTATTTGTATTTTGTATACTTAAGAGCATTCCATCACAGTACTGTATTGTTTGCCTGCATTTTATGTAATACTCTGGTCTATTTCTTCTGAGTTGCTACTTCTGTCTATACCAGCTAAGCCTGTGCATGGAGGTTCAAAAAAATCATAAGCACAAAAAATTCCTTGAACCATCCCTATCTATGAAGAAGAAATAGATAACTGATGGTATTTTCTGGACAATAAATAAATTGCCGAATGCCTTTGTAGTACTGTTCTTAAATTCTCATTCAAATGTATGTAAGAAAGTATTGATTGTATGAATCCCCCCGATTTTTTCTTTTAAAAATTAACTCTGTTCCTGCCAACAGGAAATGCTGGCTTTGCTGGTGCTGCTTACAATGCCCCTGGAGGATATATCCCTTCCTTTCACAAAAAGGAGGTTGGTTCAGCTGGTCAAAGGATCCAGCTAGCACCTCTTGGCCCCTCAGCCACAGGTAACTTTGAATACAGTTTGATGTATAGTGTAATGAGAAGGACTTGTATATTTTTTTAAATCTCTTGAAAGGATTGGGCCGGGTATTCAACTAGTGCAAACAGACGGGCTTACTAAGAATGCAATGCATTGTATTTTAAATTTATATTCAATTGGAGTTAAGTTCCTCTTAAAGAAATAACACTGCATTTTTTTTAACGCTCCCATGACAAAATTGGTTTCCAGTATAATTTTCTTCAATCTTTGTATAAAAACCTCATTTCAGCTTTGACATTTAGTTTTGACTCTCATTAGCAGTTACTTAGAATACATATCCAGCTATGTGAGAGCTGGCAAAATATATTCCTAAGGTTTACGGTAATTATTTGGCAATATTATATAACGAACACAACTAGTTTTGTAAATAAATGTCAAAAATACAGCTATGCACAGCATTAACTTTTGCTTTCTGTTAAATATATGATAGATTTCTTCAGTATAATAGATGGAAGATTGACTGTATTGGAATGTGTTTGACTAATCATTTATTACTTCTGAGAAAAGCAGCATGTGCCAGAGAACTGTTGTTAGTGCATTTTAAAGAATACAACCAGTAATTAGATAGAGATATTCAGGAATTAACTTAATCAAATGCCCACTAGCGTGTGTGTAAATGATAGCAGTATATCCAGGCCTGAGTCCAAACTGAAAACATAGACCAAATGAGACTGGAGCTTTACTCTACATTGCCCATTCTTTCAACCAGCCTCTGTAACTGGGCCTTTTAAAAGCAGCTTGATATGCAGAGATTAGCAGATTAAGCTTTTCATGTTGTGGAAATAAACGTCACAATTTGTGAGTTGCTGTTGATCAAGCTACAACCAGTATAGGTAGATTGAAAATTTCTTACTTCACCCTTCAAGAATATACTGAAAATATTTGAGAGAATTCCTCCTATTGGCCTGTGGCAATGAACACTAACTGAATGCCAAACATGCATTGTACGTTAATGCTTTTCAGAGTTACGTGCATGTACATGGGCTTTTTAAAGAATCAACAAGGGCTTTAGTTAAAATGGAGCATTCTGGCAATACTTACGTGGAACCCGCATGCTTTGGAAGGTGATGGTACTCTTAGAAACTTTGTGTTTTACTGACTCGCTATTACAGGTGGTTCGTTGTCTCCACCTGGATATAAGGGATGTGGAAGTGGCTTTTTAGAGAGAGAGAGCGGACCCAGGGTGAGGGCAGAGCAGTCTTGAGGTAGGAGACCTAGGAGCAGCCATATGTGTGAAAAAGACCTGATTTCCTTATTCTGCACTGTCCTTGATTGTAGCAATAAGGAAAATGTAATTACTGGGAACCACAAATAGCATGGGTGGAATTATAAAAGGTCTTTTGGTAGCAGCAAGTGGTAGTAAGTAGATACCTCAGTACTGTTTTTTTGAATGAGTATTGCTTGCGTTCTGTACTCTGAATATTCTTGAAGAGAACTCCCTTTAAATTCATGGTTTGATGTTGGGAGTTTGTAATAAATCTGAATTATTGTGGCCACACTTAAGAGAGCCATACCATGGTGGACCATGCAAACAAGTCCTCGGTCATGATGGTGGTTGTTCTCTCAAGTCTACGGCCACTCTCTAGGTGGATATTAGTAGCCATTTTATGACACCTTCTACCATATATCTGCATCTGATGCCAACTTGTGTCCTGACCATGCTTCTGCCTGCCATTGCCACTACTGCTTTGTATGAGTAATGACAGATTAGCGGCTCCAGAGATATTCCTTACCACTTTGCACTTAACAGTATTAATAGTCAAGCTGTTGGAGGGTGAAAGAGTTAATCCTAGGATAGATTGGTTGGCTGTCTTACAATCATGTAGGATAGTGAGTTGTCTGCATAGGTATTTAGTTGTGTGGCTTTGGTCCAAACAAAAAAGATCTTCCATTGTTAATGCATGATAAAATTGATTAAAACTAGAATATAATCTTATTCTATATGTAGGTAGTTTTAATCAGTCTCCTGTATGGCAAAAGTGGGGTTGTATCTGCCATTTTAGATCTATTTAGCATAGGGCCAATGCATCAAAATGAAAGGGACTTAAATTAGACAGCCTTCCCTATCCTGGTAATGCCCAGATGTTTTGGAGTACAACTGCTAGCATTAAAACAACTTACATTAATTTTGTAATTTTGTTCTCTCTTCAGAATATGCAGAATATGCTTGGAAAACAAAGGCTGCCCGTTCTCAATTACCAGGACCTACGTACAACCCAGCCACAAAAGGCATAAACATTTTAACTCGCCCGCCACCACCAGTACAACCAGTGCATGGAAGAACCGACTGGATGGCCAAATACGGAGGGCATCGCTAGAAGTACTTTTGCATACTTGCTTGCTGTTACTGTTTATATACTTCCCTTCATTTTGGGACACTTTAAAACACATTTCTACTAATAGAATATCAATTCTGGAAAGAACTGAGAGCCTGTATTTTATTATCTCTAGGAATATATATATATAATAATAAATTTGTTTTACTTAGAAAGTATCCTTTAAACTAGTGTCTCTAAGGGTTAGGTTTTTTGTTTTGTTTATGTTATATGTTACAAAGTATTCTATAAGGGAACTTGCCAAAGCTGATGAGCATTTGACCTCTTGTTAGATGGGTGGTAACTTTTATTGGATCCCTTTGATGCTTTAATTTTTTTTAATGTCAGAATAGAAATAAGCTGCAATTTCCTGTGGCTAACTTGCCTATGGCGAGCAACAGGTTAAAAGGTGAAGTGAAAAGTGACTTTCAAGCAGATGATGCTTCCAGAATCTTTTTTTAAAGTCAGAATTGAGCAATAAAAGACAAAACATTTGGTAAGAGAGTTATTCGCTGTTGTCATGCCCCATTAGCATCAAAGGGTCCAGAAGTGAACTACACTTAAGCTGCAGCCGTATGTGTGATTAGATGAGGAAAAGTCCTGCAGCTCCCCAGGTATGCTGGTTAGGGAAATATAGGATTGTACCTTTACTCATCTTGGTTTCCGGTTGATGTTTGTCCTCTGATTCTAGACAGTGAATCCATAGGCGGTTAATGAACTCACCAAGCATTTACAAACATAATGCACCCCTATAGGCCAGTTCTGTGGTACCTTTTGTATGCATGGGATTCCTGCCTCCATGATTCGTGTGAGAGTACATGAGAGGTGTTAAACAGATAGACTACTTCATATGGACCTATCACAGCTTGTTTTGGATTTGATGTAGAACCCAGAAGTGGACAAGGAAGAGATTCATCTGCAAAACACTTCAGTTCGAATCCAGAGACCCTCAAGTACTGCAGTGGGCCACATGTGTACATCTGCAGCTAGTTGTACTTGACATTGCAATGAAAGAAGGCTTTAATTGCACAAGAAGTATGTGAACAAAAGCATTGACAGCCTAACATGTGGAATAAACCACTGGATCGGGGTGAATTTTTTTACTTACAGGTGTGATTGTATGACTGGAAATATAATATGTAAATAGCATTCAGACTGGTGCGCTCCTGCCTGGAAGGCCAGGTAGCATAACTGCTGGGCCAGGAAATATATAATTCTACATATACTTTTAATGAATGTAGTCATCTAATCTCCAAATTTTGTAGGCTACAGCTTTTATGCTGTCCTGCCTAAGAATTTCATGCTATAACCTCCCTTCCTTTCAGTGCTGTTGTGATACTCCCAGTGCTGTGTGGCAAAAAAAAAAAAAAAAAATTGTAGAACGTCTAAGCCACTGTGAGTGTGTGTGAGTGTGTGTTTTAATTCCTCATTACTTTTCTTGAATTGGACAATTTAATAAGTCACACTTAATTGTAGTGCCTTTTCTTAGTAACCAAAGTTGAAAAACTATAGGATTCCCTACCAGTTCCTGAAAGAATAGCTTAAACATGCTAACCACTACCAGTTCTTATTCTGAAAGTGTCATCTTTGTAGTATAAATCAGTGCCATTAATTGGCCTTGGATATACAACAATCCACTTTCCTGTTTCAGATGCCATAAATTACACAGTGACCCAAAACCTATGTGCTATTGCAAGATATTTCTGATTTTAGTACATTTGTTAGTACATTAGACAATGGAGCTCCTTGCAAAATCTGTCAAAGCTATACTCACTTAAGGTATGTTTCTTCAATTCTAATTGTTGCAATATTTGACTTGGAAACCTGGCAATCTGCAGTTTAAAAAGTAGCATATATTCTATACATTCTTCTACAATTGTAAAATGTTTAAACGAGTTATTTGCAGGCTAACAAGTATTTTTATGTATTTTTTTTAATATACAGTTTTGTAGTGTAGAATATTTGTTAGTTGATTTAAGGCTTGAATTAGGGTTTAAGTTAATACAGTTGAATAAGTTTTCTCAATCTCAGAAGGAATTTTATAGCAGATTTTATACTGCTATCAAGCTGCTCTTACATGGGCAATATTATATCTCTGTGCAGTGTTGCAGAAATATCAGACTGTGTTTCAGTCTTCCAAAACTTAAACAGTTGACTGTGTCCCTCAAATTCTGTCTTGAAGGTATTCACTTACAGATTTCATGTTACTTAAAGCACAAGAAATTTGCCTTTGTGACTGGACTGGTTTTCATTTGAAAATAGTTTCTTTTATAATAAAGTTAACCTCTCAGGAATGCAAGACTATAGTAAAAGTCTTCCTTTTAAAAAGCAGTGTAATATTAACAGTGCAGGACTCACTTAGACTGTTGTATTGGGTTGGAGCCACCCAATGCTAAGGACTTGAGGCTGTAATATCTAATTTAGCTTAGCTTGTATGTTTACTTCATTCTTCCTTATTTTCCCCACCCCTCTAGTTAGTGATGAAGAATGGAAAGGGGAGTTGCACATTCTAATCACTTTCAGCCATGAAATAAACTGATGTTATGGGGAAGACAATGGGTGCAGTGAGATTAACATAAGATAATTGTTTTGGCAGTCCTGTCTTCTTTGGACTGTGTTGCTCCATGTTCAAAACTGTGCTTGCACTATTTTTCATAAATAAAAGTGTACATGACTTCAAATTCTGAGATTATTTTGGTTCTGGCAGGCAATTATAAAACAGTATTGCTACACTTACGATAACTTGTTTTCTGGGTTTGTACTTAGAGTAGCTTGGATATAAGAACAAATTCTCTGTTGCTTCTTCAGTAAGGATTGTTTATGCAGTGAAGTCATTTAAGGCCTGTTCCAATGTTTTCCTGTATCAGTTTTTTATGGCATTTTTATGGCAGTTCTGAAAAATCAATTTTTCTGTTTGCCCTAGCAATCCAAGCCATTGATTACTTTGCAACATTCTCATATCATAAGGAGGGTACCTTGTTTGGTACAGGAGAACAGTGCTTGCTTTTGTCTTAATGAAAGGAATAAGACCTGGGTATAGCAAGTATGCGGCATTGCACAAGGACTGTGCACAGTCTAGCCAAAGTTAAGGGCTTTTTGAGACTTGATTTAAAAAGGAATGTTGTCTGCTTGAATATTAGCATCAATGTGACTCACAACTGCTTAGCACTGGATGGACTGTAAAGGAAAAGGTGTGATGCTGTCCAGGGGGAAGGAAAGCCTTGCCTGGCCAAAGGTCTACAGGTGTCCTTTTGCCCTTGGGTAGTTGTACAGTGTAGAAATGCTAACTTCTGAAAGGTAGTTTTTAAACTAATTTAGTTTTTAAAAATAATTCTCAGAATGGTATGAAAATGGATGGGTGATGTTACTGAATACAAATTAATGAATTGATACTACTTGTTGAATCATATGGCAAGTTTCAGGGTGATGGGAGGAAAGCAAGCAAATTGCTCCTTTTGAATGCTGAAAAATGTGATTTCCTCACAATACAAATGTGATGTAGAGAAAGTTAGCTGTTATACATTCTATAAGAAATTGAGTAAGAACTATACCTATTGGTGTTGATTTTACAGCTTCTCAGAAAAATCAATCACTAAGAGGGACCTGCTGGATAGAAATGCTTTCAGAAAGAGTGTGGATGCCCAATCCAATTTTATGTGTGTAATTAGTACTTCCAATTACATGGCTATCTAGCCACTCCAGTGAGACTCACATGAGTACCATGAAGATGTATGTGAAATACCTTGATCCTTTCTATAAGTAACTAAGTCTATCGCCAACCCCATTTCAAATAATGTATAATAATACATTACTTACCTGGAAGGAAATGGGGATGACTTTGCATACTACAGCTCTGTGTACCTCACTGCACCCCCAGCACTCTCCAGTCACATATTTGAGGACTGGTAGTTATTACAGAGACTCCTTCAGCTATAAAAATACTTTGGAACCCAAACATTTTAAAATTAGTAAGTATTTATTCCAATGGCTTTTGACAAGAATCCCTTTTGACCTAGTATTAAAAGGGATAAAGTACTGATTTTAGGCTGTTTTCTGTAGCATGTTACCCTGATTGTGACCACTTAAGAACAGATACACATTTCCATTAAGGCATTCCTGTATACAGCAAGTAACATTCTTTTTTTTAAACACAGTTGCAGAACTAGGGATGGGGAGACAAGGTACGAGTTAAGCAAGCATGTTTCATGATAGGATATTGCTTAACATCATCATTTTCCTTATTCATGATCTTAAAGTGCTCAAAATTATTTTGTATTTATTTAATTTGTATGCTGCCCCTTTAGCTATAGGCTCTCTGGGTGGCTTAGGAACATGCTTAAAACAATGCATGATTAAAGCTATTAGTATAAATTTATACATGTTTAACAAGCAAAGCACACATTCTGTAGTTATTGTCTCTATACAAATTTGCAAAAGAAGCCAAGAAAGAGAACAACCTGGTGAAACTGAAACATACTGGTTTGGTAGTTACAAATAACCTTGCAGATCCTGCACTTAAAAACCATACACAAGAATTTCAGTTGTCTTCATTGCTTGTTTCAAGTGGGTGTTCCGAAAGCTGTCTCATTGAGCATCTTAATCTGCTATTTGTCTGTTTCACAATTATGGCTGAAGGGGTTTCTCCATCATCTGTAGCCCAAGTTTGCCCACCATTAGCAGACTGTTTAAATAAAATATAAATCAATATCTCAGTAAATGTCATTAATAAGTTAAACCATCACTGTCACAATACAGATTGTATAATTAAAACATACCAACATTTCATATGTGCTTAATCCAAATGATAATTCAAAACTTGAGTTGAAAAACAAGAGTAGAAATTGTACCTGGCACCAGCAATTAACCCAGCAGGCATGAATTTCCTTGAGTTATAAAATCTCATTCCCATCACAGCAGTCAAGGTTCCAGATGCAACTACAGAGGAAAATCACAGTGATATGTAGAGAGATCTATTCCACATTACTACTGGCAGAAGTTTCATGTATTTATATCCTGCCTTTGTTTGATGGAGCTCAAAATTATATAGTTTCTAAGGTTGCAATTCTATGTATGCTTTGCTGGTGGGAGTTGTAGAACATTTTCCTGGTTAAATATGAAAAGGATTGTGCCATAAGTAGCCAGTGGATAGACTCAGTCCTGCTACATCAGACCTGCAATTTTTAGAGCCAAGGATACAGACTTCTTTGGAAAGATGATGAAGAGTTTCATTTCTATACTGCTCAATAGCTGAAGCTCTCTGGGTGGTTTACAGTTGTACATAAAACAATATAATAAAATGCCATACAATCTTATCAAAAGAAACATAAAAAATTAAAAACAGCTAAAAACATCTGAAATGGGTAATCCTCTCAAGCCCCAAGATAATCAAGTATAAGTACAAAATCTTTGACATAAAAGGTCTTCTTAACTGGTATCAAAAAGTACAAGGTTGGCACCAGGCAGGCACAGTGGGTCCTCCAGAAATTGCGTCATGGATAGCAGTTTAATATATAGAACAGCTTATTGGCAATGGAAAAGGAAATACTGGATTTGGAAAACACCTGGGTAGAACTTGAATGGTAGATTTGGGCCAATAAAGGAGCGCAGTTAAGAGAGACTGTGTGAAATCCTAGCGAAAGTTTGCTAATAAATACAACATGAGTCTTTCCCTTGCTCCTCCCTGTATCCCTCTGTGATGTCCCGAAATCTACTCCAAAGGGTTTCTCAGTCCTCAGGAGCAGACTTTGAATACGTTTGGGGCAGGGGGTATGCAGTAAGAGGCAATCACCCCCTTCTGGAAATGTTTCATTTGTATTTGCAGCTGAGGTAATGGCTGACTATAAGCTTATGAACTGTGCAGATGGGGTGGTGAGGGAAGCATTAATTTTCTGTATCTTCCTCAAAGCTGAATAAATGGTGTACATGCACACGCACGCGTGCATTTTTTAGCTTTGAGGGGAATACGCAAACCAATGCATGCATGTTCTTTATGTAATTTATTTATTTACTGTATTTAAACCATTTCTATGCCGCCCCATTCGCAAAATGTGAGGCAAATACTTACACAGGGAAAGCCAAATGTCCTTTGGATCCTGAGACTGCTTGTATGCACCCAGGCCTGCTAAACCACCAAACAGGAGACCAGCAGCTAGGGAAGGAACACTACCTAGAGGAAATGAATGCTCATTAGAAGGTGAATCTGTAAGCCCAGTTAGCAGCAACATTTCTATCTACTCACCTTTATACACTGTTTTAAAGCTTGCTACAATAGGAATTCAAATATACTGTGACATACTATTCTGCTTCTATTGTAGATATCCTAAGGCATGTTCACAATAAATTAAAAGGGGCTTGGATCATTAAAAAAAAGGGCCACTTCTCGACAACAATCCAAATCCAGTCTTGTCCCTCCAAGGCCTGCTGAAAGAGAAAGATTATGATCATTTGTCTGCAAGGAGAAATGATGAGTTTCTCTGGGGAGAGTTTTCCATCACTGAAGCTACAAGCTAGCATTTCTCTTGGGAGAAAGGAGAAATGGGAAGGGTCAGGGAAAATTCTGTAAAAGGAACAGTCAGAGCTACATGTGATGGAGCAGCTAGAGACAATATCTACTAAGGGTACAATCCTATGCATGTTTAGTCAGAAAATAGTCCTCGAAGCACCTCTTGACATGATCCAGGCTGCTTTTGTTTCTCTGTAGCAGCAGCAGGGAGCCAGCCTTCATTAGACTCTATCCATGCGGAATCTCCTCCTCCTCAGGCCTTGAGAGGCCTTTCTGTCTAACCACAAATATGTGCTTGTCTCCCCTGAATTTTCCGCAGGTCTTTTTGTGCATAAGTGGATATCTCAAGGTGCAATACATCATCACTAGAAACTTTTGCCTAAATATCCTACCCATTAGCATTTGATCAGGGAAGTCTGGCATTCCAGGAACTGGTGTATTATGATACACTAAATGTGCCAAATGTGGATTACTTTGAGCATCTTCTGTCTTCTTGCTAAGCTGTTTGTTCTCTCTCTCAACCATTCTCTTGGACTGTGGCTATCCTGGGCCACTGAAACTGAGTAGTCATGAGCACTGCATTGCCATTCTTGACTCACAAAGGCCATATTGACCACTCACGTTTTAGAATTCCATTTTGAGCAAAGACCGTTTTATGCTTAACATCCACAATTCTTGCAGTTGTCAGACTTGGTACCTCTGGATATTTTGCAAAACAGCCACAAGAAGAAAGAAGGAAGGACTCTATTAAAAATACCTACTCCCAATTTCTTCCACGGTAATTCAGGAATTTCATCTGGTTCAAGCATGACTGAATCTCCATATGCCACAAGAGTTACAGCACTTTTAGTTAATCCTTTCTTACTGGATAATTTACAAAATACGTGAAGTGATAAGGAGCCTCTACTCCTGTAATTTAAATGTTACAAGTCCTTCTAATATTATGCAGTTACATCCAGGCATTTGGCTTACAGCTAAACCAGCAATCTCATGAGATAATTCCCCCATAAACAAACTTTGAATCAAGCTTATGAATATGATGTCCTTGTTCTTTGTTAAAACAAGATTTACTGCCTGTTACTGCTACAGAAGAACATAAACAGCCTTGCTCTTGTCAAGCGATGACTCCAGATGGTTACAAGTATCGGCAGACAATTGAGCAAACCAATCAACTGCATGATCTTCTGAGTACCTCTGCAGTTGATACAAAGGATGCTAGAGAAGTCCTTGATTTTACTTCAGTCTGTGGCATACTTCGCGTCACGTTTACCACTAGCCTTTCCAAATGAGGGCACTTTTAGTCCCCACTTGGCTATGCACCTCCCTGGGTGACTTGGGGACAGTCAGTGTAACCTACCTTACATGGTGGTTGTTGGGTGGATAAAACGGAGCTATGTAAGCCCCTTTTAGCTCCTCATGTGAGGGAAAGCAGAGGGATTTAAATGCAATGTAGTAACAAAAGCAGCATTTAAACTGTGACTTTTCAGATCCAAGGACTTTACTAGAATTGTCTCACAGTGCTTGCCATCCCACAGTGGTCACCAAGATATTCCTGGGAAACTCACAAGCAGGGTGAACACCACAAACTTCCAGCAACTCGGATGCAAACTGCATCCCTTACTGTAAGTAATATAAAGCCCTTCTCCCTCATAGCCATTGGTAGCCTTACCTTCCATGGATTTAACGTCCTATAAAGCCATCCAAGTTCCCTAGTTTAACTATGAGCAGTGCGCTGAATAGCCTGGGAACTCCTGTGTCAGTGGGGCTTCTCCTTAACTGTGGCTTTTCTTTTGAGCGATATAGATCCTATCCATGGTGATCCATATCCGAAATAGCCTCTCAGGATCTCAGTAGCATCAGGGCTCCTCCTGTTGGCCAAATGCCAGAATAACAGCCCTGCTAGTTACAGGATTGGTTCCAGGCTCTCATGCAGCTGCCAGGACCTTCCGGAGTGCCACCTGGGAATCCTGGCAGAAGAGCTATTTAAAAAGTGGCTCTTCCCTCCAGAAGCTTCTTCAGCACCACTGGCCTCCCGTGTGCTGAAGCTCTCTGTGACATCTGGATCCTGACCTCTGGCTTCTTTTGACCATGCTTTGCTTGCTCCTGGTTTGAGCTTGGCTTGCTCTGGATAACAACTTGGATTTGCCTGGGGAGTGGGCCGAAGGGCCACTTTTTAAATAGCTCTTCTCCCAGGTGGTGCCCATGAAGGCCCTGGCACCTGCATCAGTCTGGGATCAGTCCCACAACTCCCAGGGCTGTTATTCTGGTGTGCTCCCAACAGGAGCCCTGAAGATGTCCAGATCCTGCCATGGACTCACCATCATAGAGACCACAGAGGGCTCCTAGAAAGTTCCACCAGCATTTTCTGGCAGTATACTCGTCTTAGTATGCATTTGCATTATGCTGCAGAAGACTCCAGTCCTGCTACCTAGCATTCCAGCATACTTTTTATTATTGCCAGACATTCATTCATTCATTCATTCATTCATTTAGGGGACTTCTATGCCGCCCCATTCGCCAAAGCCTCGGGGTGGCTCACAACCATAAATAAATAGAATCCAATAAAACATTATAAATTAACAATATAAATTAAAAAAGATACATACTTAAAGCAAAGTATGGGAAGGAGTTGAAATAAAATGAGAGGAACGCTACCTCAAGCAGGTGTCCTCTAGTTTTTGGGTCTACAAGCCTCATACTCCATGTCCTGTGCAGTTGTAGCTCAAAACATCCAGAGCGCATCCGGGTACGGATGGAATGGCGACAGAGCTCTCAGATGGGTTCCAGATTGGACTGACGGGTTCCAGAGTTGATTCTGTTTGCTTGCTCCCCTGACATCCTTTGTTTAATGTGGACTATGAATGATGAAGAAAGGAACCTACTTTTTGACACAATGAAACCAACACAGCTCAGCTGTCCTCTGAATCTCTCATGTCAGGTTCAGCTGAGATTTCGGCATGTGTGCCTGGCCTAATGGACGTGGACTTCCCTGCAGCTCCGGCTCCCTGAAAACTGGGAAGTTCAGAGACCCTGTTGAATATTTGCTGAGGGTGGGGAATCTTTGAAAAACATAAGATGTTTTTCATGAATCCAGCCCTCCGTCCCAGCAAAGGCTACTAAGCACAAACAGATGTGTGTGTCATTATGCTTAAGGAATAGAGAAAATAAAAGAAGGGCATGAGACTTTCATAATACTATACCTGCTTTTGCATAGCCAACGATTCCACCTGAAGCAACCAGTGCTGCATAACCATAGTCAAGCCAATCTGCACTCATGCTGGAATGCAAATATCAACATACAACATTATGCCAGTATCAGATCCAGGATAATTTTTTAACATTCAAGGTTTGGGGTTTTTTTTTTTTTTTCCATATTAGCAATCAGTTATCAAGGATCTCAAGGAAACCAAAAAATCAGGTCTCCAGTGCTTGAGTAATTCAGCTGCAATTATTTAAAAGAGTATTCCCAATTATTTTAATTGCGTCCAGAAGAGACTCTCACTTCAACAAATAGAAAATTATAACTGTATTTCAAAACTAAGCATACTTTTTGCTAAAGTATTGGGGATGCAATCAAAGAAAGACACTCCACTGTCTGATAGGGGCCATCAAAATCAATTGCACCTCATGATGTTTCCAAATGTGCTTTTACTCAAGCCTAGCTTCATTGTTGCTTTGCCCATCTGTAGTCCTGCTCACACACACATATTCCACTGCTCAGTGACATGAAGCTTTCGTCATCACTCAATGCTGCTTCACTGAAAAAAATCTACATCACCCCAAGCACAATGAAACCAGTCCATACATTCTGTGGCAAAGCTGAAATAATCAGGTGAGGTATACTTTGCATGCAAAATAGATTCTATTTTTACATCAGGGTAAGGAACTTGGGGCCTTCCAAATGTTGCTAAACTACAATTGCCATTATACCTGAGAAATAGCCATGTTGATGACAGCTGAATCCCAAAACAGCTGGAGGATCACCCCTTCCTTTCTAGTTTAATCTGCAGCTGAATGGAGAAATGAAGCAATTGCATCTTCTTCCTGCCTGGTTTTTCTCTAGGCCAGGACTGAATAACAAGCATCCCCCCAGTGGCAATTTTTGTGCACTTCCCTACTTTTTCCTGTTGTTGCTCCCACAGGGCAGTAACAAAAATCACGGCAATTTTTCAAACAAACAAAGTGCACAGGGAGTGTGCACCTTTTGCATGCAGAATAGCATTCTTGAAAGGCTACCAGCTGGGTGCTTCTACACAGAAACACAAGGTGGGCACTCCCTGCAAAATGTCATGATTTTTACTGCCACAACACAGTGGCAGATGCAGTGGGACACAGGAACAGCCCCCGGTAGGTTTCAGGGAGCAATCCCCCCCCCATCCTGCTTTGTTTCTCACCTGTTGTGAAAGCAGGACCGCAGGGCACAGGAAAGCCAGAAGGCCTAGGTGAGCCACCTCTCTCAATGCAGCAGCCCCCTGAATCATAAAAGAGGTGGTCTTCAGCTCATCAAATGGCAACTCTTGTGAGAACAGGTCCACTCTTGCACAATGTATGTAGCTTGTGTGCTTAGATGTGACAGGAAAGGGAAACTTTACACCTGTATCTTGGGCAAGAAGAAAGACTCCTAAGAGTGCCACATGTCAAGAGTGGGCTTTCCTTTTTCTGGCCTGCCTGGCTTTAGTCTTGCCAGGTCTCCTATGAAGATGTCACTCTTCTGAAGTGTCACCATGGTCTCCTGAAACATTTACAGTGCACAAAGAGAGCAGCAGCTGAGCATAACTAATCTGTAAAGTGATCCTGAGAAAGTGCTCTTGCTGGGGAACTCAGGAAGTACCCTGCTGAGTGAGCCTCAAAGTTCACACTCCCAGACCAGGTTTTTCCAGGTTTTTCCTTGCAAAAACCTCAGCGATCAACAGACTGGGCAGCCTTCCCCAGCCTTGTGCTTCCAGACACATTTCAACTGCAACATCCAGAATTCCCAGTCAATGGCCTTGCTTGGGCGGGAATTCTGGAAGTTGTAGTGTAAATACCTCTGAAGGCCACCAGGTTGGGGAAGCCCACAGTGGAGGTCCACTGGAAAGTACTTTTAATACATTGTGACAGATGAACGTCTAACAGGTGCAGAGCTTCCCTTCGATGATCTAGGGAAACACTGTTCCTGCTGAATGAATGAATGAATGAATGAATGAATGAATGAATATATATTCATTCATTCATTCATACATTCATTTAGGGGACTTGTATGCCGCCCCATTCGCCAAAGCCTCGGGGTGGCTCACAACCATAAATAAACAGAATCCAATAAAACAATATAAATTAAGTCGCCCTGGCCGAAGAATAAAATAAATAATATTAACAATTAAAATAACGTTTGAATAAAAAGGTCTTCACCTGGCGCCGAAAAACAAATAACGACGGCGCCAGGTGGACCTCTCTGGGGAGCGCATTCCATAGATTGGGTGCCACCGCAGAGAAAGCCCTCCTCCGAGTACTCACCCTCCTAATTTCCTTCATGGAGGGTTCCCGGAGAAGGGCCTCTCCCGCAGATCTCAAGGGGCGGACGGGCATATATGGACGTAAGCGCTCGTTCAGGTAACCAGGACCCAAGCCGTTAAGGGCTTTATAGGTCATCACTAACACCTTGAATTGGGCCTGGACTTCAATGGGAAGCCAGTGAAGCTGACAGAGGACTGGAGTCATTTGAACATAATGTCCAGTCCCTGTCAGCAGCCTGGCAGCTCTATTTTGAACCAATTGAAGTATCCGGACCGTCTTCAAGAGCAGCCCCACGTAGAGCGCGTTACAGAAGTCAAGTCGGGAAGTCACCAACGCATGTGTCACTGTCGCCAGAAAGTCGTTCTCCAGGTAGGGGCGCAGCTGATGGATCAGCCGAAGCTGAAAGAAAGCGCTCCTCACCACCGCTGTCACCTGAGCTTCCAGTGAAAGCTCTGGGTCGAGGAGCACTCCCAAGCTGCGGACCTTGTCCCTAAGAGGGAGTGCAACCCCATTCAGGACTAGGTTCAATTCACCTTCCCCGAAGTCCGATCCGCCAACCAACAGGACCTCGGTCTTGTCTGGATTGAGCTTCAGTTTATTGGCCCTCATCCAGCCCATTACCTCGGCCAGCCACTGGTTCAGCACAGCCACTGTCTCACCTGGATTGGTGGAGAACGAGAGGTAGAGCTGGGTATCATCAGCATACTGATGACTCTGCAGCCCAAACCTCCTGATGACCTCTCCCAGCGGTTTCATGTAGACGTTAAACAGCAAAGGGGGCAAAATGGAGCCCTGCGGTACTCCATGGCATAGCTGCCATGGAGCAGAGCGATAGTCCCCCAGCACCACCTTCTGGAATCAGCCATTGAGACAGGAGCGGAACCACTGCAAAGCAGTGCCTCCGACCCCCAATTCTGCTAGCCTATCCAGAAGGATACCATGGTCAATGGTATCGAAAGCCGCTGAGAGGTCCAGAAGAACCAACAGGGACACACTCCCCCCGTCCTTCTCCCTGCACAGGTCATCGTACAGGGCGACCAAGGCAGATTCAGTACCGTCCCCGGGTCTGAAGCCGGACTGAAATGGGTCCAGATAATTAGTTTCATCCAAGAGAGCTTGGAGTTGTCCCGCCACCACCTGCTCCAACACCTTGCCCAGAAACAGGATGTTGGCCACTGGTCTATAATTAGTGGCCATCTCTGGATCCAGTGACACTTTCTTCAGGACCGGTCAGACTACTGCCTCCGTTAAAGGGGCAGGCACCCAACCCTCCCTCAGAGAAGCGTTAACCACTTCCAAGATCCAGGTCCCAATCCCGTGCTTGGCCTTGTTTATTAACAAGGGTCCAATAGGCAAGTGGTGGGACGTACTCCAAGCACCTTGTCCACATCATCAGGCCGCAATAACTGACATTCATCCATTAATGAAATTCATCCTTCCTCAGGCTCGAGAACAGGGTGGGCAACTGCGGTCCGCACCTCCCATCGGTCCTTGCCAGTTCAACCAAAGGGGAGGAACGACAGGAGTTGCATCCACACGTGGCTCACCTCTGACCTGGAAGAATATTGCAACCTCAGGGCAACAGCGTTCAGGAAGGAACAGACCCCTCCCAGCCCCCCCAAGACCAGAGCGCTCCACCCTCTTCTGAGCGCTGCCAGCCACCCGAAGCGGACCGCGTCCGCCCCTTAGTTTGCTCCAGCCGAAAGATAAACGCACGAGGCGGGATGCCGCTAGATTACAGCGGGAAGCCGAACAGCGGCGAGGTCGAGCGACGCGTTTCCTTTGCAAGGGCGGGGGGCGCGAGCCGCACGGACTCACCTTCCGCCAAGGTCACCCCGAGGCCCTGGAACGCTCCCCGGAGCGGCGCGCGGCGCGGCGGCCTGGACGACTCGCGAGGCGCCCGAGGTTTCCCGGGCTGTGCGAGAAGGCCGAGCGGCGCCTTGCCCGGAGTTCCTCCGCCCTGCTCTCGGGCTGCAGGGTTTCAACGCACGTGTTTGGCCGCGGATCTGCTGGAGCTTCAAAGAGCGTTAAAGTTCGTGCTGTTACAACGGAATTGTATCGTGTATTGTTTTATCAGTGATGAGACTTGCTAATCATTCCTTTCTTATGCCATATTGATCTCTGTGGTTCTGTTCCAAGCATAAGGAAATCCAGATTTGTTTCACTGGGAAAGTCGTTTTGGGATTTGTGTGGGCTTGTGTCTGGTTTCGGCTCTTAACCATGTCCTGCGTATTTTATGGCGAAGATTGAAATTATATTGCCCAGATTTATTTATTTATTAAAAGCTTTTGCATGCCGTCCTATTATACAAGAAATCAGGACGGCTTACAGTTTTTAAAAGGACAATTAAAACAACCATTTCAATCATGAAACAGAACAAAACAATAAACCAAACAGAGCGACTAAACTAAAAAACTATTAGAGTTTAAAATACTGTTTAAATAAAAAGGTTTTGGCCTGGCGCCGAAAAGAGTATAAACTTGAAGATTTCTCCAGCATTGCCCCAAGTATGATAGCAGTCAGCATGGCTTGTTTGTGAAAGGAAGGTTTTTTTAAGGAAGACTGCCAAATCAAAATATCTGACCTACAGAGCCATTTCAGCTGTCTGAATTCAGTGGGGTCATCAAAATACTACAGAACATGTGCAGAGTGCATGGTGCTCAGAACCAGTTGTAAGGGTTCTCTGACTGGAAGCAAAGTGGTTCCCCATCAGCCTTCTTTGGAAAAAGTTGTAGGCACAATTGTGGGGATGGGGAGTGAAAATGATCAAAGCTCTAATGAAGTACAACAGAATATTCATACATCATGTGAATCCCACATGGTCCCTGTAGCAAAATGTCACTTTGAAATGATCCTTTATTTTCAGCTTACAAATATGCAGGAAGAAACTCTTGTCTGATGTCAGAGAGAACCATTTGTTGTTCTTTAGCATTAATCCACATTCAAGAAATTGAAAGGTTGGGTTGATTAGAATACAAAAAAAAAATTTCTAAATAAAATAGTAAAAGAAAGTAGTAATCTTGCCCAGCTAGAATGAAAACATGTAACAGAACTTAGGATTATTTTCACAGTATGTTAGACTTACAGTCTTGTAGAGAAATGCATATGCAATCCTGTGTTTTGCGTTTGGGTTAGGGCATAACTTAGTGCTAAGTTCAATGTCAGACACTGCACAAGTTACTTTTTCTTCCAACCTCAGTTCTCCCAGCTGAAAATGGAGATAGAAATACACATTATATGATGTTGTGGGGGGATGAACAAAACGTATCTTTCTTCACTTCCAATTCTTGATTCATCTTGTATTTATTGCAGAAAATCAAACCAAGATAAAGTTACATTCAGTTTCATTTCATGTTGATGTTACCTGATACTTTCTATCATTCCATTTCAGTTCCTTTTCAGATACAAGTAGCGCAAACCACACATACCTTTCTGAGCCAGGTTAAGTCCTCCTCTTCCTGTATTTAGCAGCATTTGGATTTTTTTTTTTTTTTTGTGTGTGTGTGGATTGTTTAAAATGGATTAGATAGATAATGTTTATTATTTGGAAGGAGTGTCTCCTTCCTTATGTGCCTGCCCGCCCCTTAAGATGCCCTTCTCTGGGTGCCCTCCCTGAAGGAGATTAGGGGGGTGACTATCTGGAGAAGGGCCTTCTCTACAGTGGCACCCCAATTGTGGAATTTGCTCCCCAGAGAGGTTTGCCTGGTGCTGTCACTTTATTCTTTTCAGCTCTAGGCCAAAAACTTTTTATTTACCCAATGTTTTAAGACCTGACTATTTTAATTGGGGTTTTATTATTAGTTGAATTTTAAGATGCTGTGTTTTAATTTTTTACATTTTGTATTGTTAAACTGAGACTTCACCCAGACTTCAGTAATGGGATGGTCTAGAAAAGTTTTAAATAAAAAATAGATTATATGTTTATGTGTAATGGATTTTATACTATGCATAATGAAGTTTTAATGATTTTTAATCTTTGCATATTATCCAGAGAGCTTCAGTGCAGAAAAGCAATGAATGAATGAAGGTATCCTGTACGTGTCTGCTCAGAAAAAGTATGCCCCATTAAATTGAATGGGACATACTCCCACTAAGTGAGCAAAGGATTGCAGCCTAACTTTTAACCATGGCTTGGTTGCTGCCTCAGGCTATAAACCTATATACATTTGCTTGGGAGTAAATCCCACTGAACTCAAGGGGGCTTCCTTCTGAGCAGGCATGCATGAGGGTGCACCCTTTCAGAAGTGACCCCAATCTGGTAGATAAGTAGTGAGAAACTTGTAGCCATCCAGATGTTGCTGGACACCTGTTCATGCCACCACACGTGGTCAATGGTCAGGAGCTCTGGCAAGGCATCCGTTGCGTACAAATGGTATCTATCTTGCTGGTTCTAGGAAGTTGTTTGTTCTCAGTATCTCCTATTCAGAGTTACACTGCCTGTGAATATCAAGGTTCCAAACAACTCCCAATAAAAATGCAAGGAGAAAATACAAAAGCAGGAGTGCAGCTGAATATTAAGAAAACAAAAATCATGCCCACAGAAGAATGCTGAACTTTACTGTTAATAATGAAGAACTCCAAATTGTGAAAAAAATCGTAGACTTTGGCTCAGTCATCAATTCAAAGCGAGACTGCAGAATGAGGCCTGGAAGGGCAGCAGTGAAGGCAAGATAGTACAAAAGGGTTGGTGGCAGGATGGGGAGGGGAGGGGTTGGTGCAGGAGCCTCTTTGCTTGGGGAGCTGCCCCCTGTCAGTGGTTGGGCAGGTGTGTAGCTTTCTCCCTAGTTTATTAATCTACCCTGGCGGTGTGGACTGCAAGCGATGTGCTGCTTAGAGAAGTCTTCCTCTAGTGGTCGAAGATGCTACTGCATCCTTTGACTGTATGAACATCTTTAAGGGTGGCGCCAATGCTCTTACGTCCCTGAACTTGAAGGGTTATGAGCCACCTGTGTCGATTGAGAGAAGCAGCAGAGGTGATAATGGCCTCCCTCTGCTCCTCTGTTCCATTCGCTTTAGATGGTTGTTTCTCCTCAGCTATCAAAAGCATAAGAAGAGCCTGTTGTACCTGAGGTGTTACAGATGAGACCAGAAACCGGATGGTAAAAATAAAGAGGAGTTTATTACCTGCAGGATTTCTTGCAGGGACCAACATTCATGGTTAGAATGCGGCCCTGGACAGAGTTGGAATGAGGTTTTTATAGCTTCACAGTGAGTTTTCGGTAAATGGGAAACAATACAATCAGTTTTTGGCAGAAATCAGAACAATGGCGACAATGGGGAGTTACAGAATCACATAGCAGCAATTAAGCAAGAAGCAGAAGCAGATATACAGAAGCAGATTTTAGCAGTAAGTTTTATCTTTTAATTTACACCTTCTAAGCAATCTTTGCCCATTACGTCTTTGGTAAGCTTTTTCCATTTTCTGAGGGAATTCTCTGAGGCAGTTACTAGACATTTGAATGGGCTAGAGCTTAGGAGAGCTAAGCCTATCATGCATACCCTGAGACAGCTGATTATTCTAGTGTTTGGCCGTGTCATGCCTATCTGGAGCCTAGAGGAGTCATGCCTATCCTGAATGCCCTGAGAAAGCTGATAGGTATCTCTATTATGTCAGGATCCTGGGGAGTCAGGTACAACAGAGCCCAGCTGGATCAGAGCCAGGGTCCATCCAGTCCAGCTCTCTGCACATACCATGGCCAACCAGCTGCCCACAGAAAACCTACAGGCAAGACATGAGTGCAACTGCACAGAGGAAGGGAGACAATTTGAGAGACCTCAGTCCCTGCTACTTCCTCTCAGCAGGGCCAGGTTCCCAGCCTGGGAGAGGAAGTCAGCCTGGTTTGTTCCACACTGGCTGGGAAGGGGACAGAGCTGCAGTTCTCAGCTCCAAGACTAGAGTGGTGTCTCTGAGCTTGGAGCTGGGTATCTGCAGATGCCAAGTCTAGGTTTCATGGTGCTATGGAAATACCAGATTTCTTTATTATAAATTTGGTAAATATTGACTAGGATAAGGCAATGCAAAAGTCCAATGAATGCACATGCTCAGAGTAAAACACAGCTGCTCTGCAGCAAAAGCAAGCAATTGGGTTCCTTCTCGCAGGGCAGTGGGGGTGGCCTAGGGAATGGGATGGAGACGGGGGTTGTTGTTTGCTTGGCTGCCTGATTCTCCTGCTCCTTTCCCCAGGGTAGTTGGGGAAAGGAGACTGGTATCAAAAAAGCAGAAATAGTCTTGCCAGTTTTTCAGCTAGTCTGTTTTCTGTGTTGGACCATCTCCGCATTTGAGGTGGCCCTGTACAAGATCCCCTCTGGTGGATCTCCTCCTCCTCTTGTAACCAGCAGCCATTTAAAATTACCCAGGGTGCCCTGGAGTGAAGCTACATCAGAGGGATTGTGGGAAAATTAAAATACTTGCTGGAGCCAGCTGCCCAGTGCTGCTTATAGTGCAGGGTTGGGGGGCACAGAGTCCTTTTGCAGTGCAATCCCATCAATGCCAACTTAGAGGTAAGTACTTTTGAGTACAAGGAGACCTACTCCCTGGAAAGCGTGCATAAGATTGTAGCCTTAGAGGGAAGCTCAAAATAGGTGTTTGTGAGCTGCCAGGGCCATAGCAGGCTGGTTGCAGACACCCGATACCGGCCTTGTACAACTTAGTGCTCAGCCAGCTAACCCCTGTTGAATTGGTATTGATAAGATAGGATTCAAGTTTGGCCACTGGCAACTTTCACATGCTATTGGCAAGCACACCCAGGTACACCCAGTATCACAAAATGCTAGGGTGGGGAGACTCACATTCCGACAAAGGATTGGAGGTGCAACGGATTGGAAGCAGCGCTGCAGATGTATGAAGGTCTGGTGCCACCAGAAAAGGCATGGCACCA